TGTCAAGTTTGTGGTCAACCAAGACTCCTAGATCCTTTTCACATGTACTGCTCTCAAGCCAGGTGTCCCCCATCTTGTATTTGTGCCTCTTATTTTTTTTGCCCAAGTGCAATACTTTACATTTCTCCCTGTTAAAGTTCATCTTGTTTGTTTTGGCCCAGTTCTCTAATCTGTCAAGGTCGTTTTGAAGTGTGATCGTGTCCTCTGGGGTGTTAGAAAGCAGAGACCTCACCTTGCCAACAAAGGCCCATATAGTCAAAGCTATGGTTTTCCCAGTACAGTGATACCTCAGTTTAAGAACTTAATTCGTTCTGGAGGTCTGTTCTTAACCTGAAACTGTTCTTAACCTGAAGCACCACTTTAGCTAATGGGGCCTCCTGCTGCCGCTGCACGATTTCTGTTCTCATCCTGAAGCAAAGTTCTTAAGCCGAGGTAATATTTCTGGGTCAGCAGAGTCTGTAACCTGAAGCGTATGTAACCTGAAGCGTGTGTAACCTGAGGTAGAACTGTAGTGATGTATGGAAGTGAGAGCTGGACCATAAAGAAGGCTGATCGCTGAAGAATTGATGCTTTTGAATTATGGTGCTGGAGGAGACTCTTGAGAGTCCTATGGACTGCAAGAAGATCAAACCGATCCATTCTTAAGGAAATCAGCCCTGAGTGCTCACTGGAAGGACAGATCCTGAAGCTGAGGCTGCAGTACTTTGGCCACCTCATGAGAAGAGAAGACTCCCTGGAAAAGACCCTGATGTTGGGAAAGATGGAGGGCACAAGGAGAAGGGGACGACAGAGGACGAGATGGTTGGACAGTGTTCTCGAAGCTACCAGCATGAGTTTGACCAAACTGCGGGAGGCAGTGGAAGACAGGAGTGCCTTGTGTTTTGTGCTCCATGGGGACACAAAGAGTCGGACATGACTAAACAACAACAATAATGACAAGTGCAAGTCAACAAGATCGAAATATCAGAAGCCTAATATTAGATCTAATAAAGGAAAGCATGGGAGACAGTTAAATGATGTTAAAAGATGTTTAAGGAGGGAGAGAGTTTTAGAAAAAGTATAAAATAGTGGAGGCTGGCAACTTATTATATCCGAAGGGAGTCAGAGTTGCAAGGCAGGGAACTGATTGCATGTATTTCTGAAGACATAAAATGAATGCATTTTAAGGAAAAGTGACAAGAAAAAGCTTTAAAGGAAATCTAGAACAAGTCAGAGCCCCGTCAAAGTATCTGCTTCCATTATTAAGCACCTTTTCCATCTATTTATAATACTTATTCGGCTCTGTAGTGGTAACATGGTTTCATTTTAGAAATGTTTTAAAAATTAACTTTTTAAACACTGGTGTTCACGGCATTTTGGGCATGTAAATTGTACATTGATTGTATGCAGTAATAGAACCTGGTTCAGAAGGAGAAAGGTTACAACAGCCAGCCAGCCAGCCATACGTAATCCTAGACCATAGCTGTCAACTTTTCCCTTTTCTTGCGAGGAATCCTATTCAGAATAAGGGGATTTCCCTTTAAAAAAGGGAAAAGTTGACAGCTATGTCCTAGACCCCTTCAACCAGGTCCCACACCCCTGACTCGCCTTTTCTCCAAAATAAAAAAGCCCTCGATGTATTCCTAATCTTTCCTCCGCAGCAGAGCTGTTCCATCGTCCGGATCATTTTGGTTATCCTTTCCGGAATCTTTCCTAGACTCGCACGTCTATTTTAGGTTGTGACATTAGGAGGCAATGCAAAGAAATGATTCGACCCGCCGCCCCATCGAGCCCCTCTCTGGCCGCTTCATGAAACGATGCAACATTCCCCTCTTCCTCCCCACATCCCACTTTGGGGATCAATTGTTTTCCATCCCCCGCTTGCAGTTCAAAGTTGTAACTCACCAAGAACCCGGCTCGCTCTTCCCCGGGAACCTGTCGCGCGCCCAAACCAAAACACACACACACACAATAGACTTTCGAGAAGAAAAACTGATCTTAGAAGCTGGGGTGGGAGAGAAAAAGAGCGTGTGAAAAGGCTGTTTCCGGAGGAGGAGACAGAGACGTAAGGAGGGGCGTCTGGTGTTGACATCCTCCTGGTTAGAGACGGGGGAGAAAGGTGGCTGCGTAAAGACGCGCGTACCGGGGGGTAGGAAAGATCGCGCACAAGCTCTCAGCGTTTTGCTCCTTTTGCAAAAAAATTAATGACTGAGTTTCTGGGGCTCTGGCAAGGCTCTCACAGAATGCAAGGGATTAAAAGGCAATTTTTGTTGGCATCTGTCGACAATGGAGTGCGCCTCCGGGGGTGAAGTCAAACACATGGGGAATCGCAGCGCCTGCTGTGGCTGCAGAGACACGTAACTTGCAACTGCTGCCTCCTGTGTTTTTTAGCAGCACCCAAGTGACCACGCCCAGGTGCAAGCCTGGGCAGTGTGTATGGAGGTCCTGGGCTGCCCAGACGACCATACCCGCCTCTTGGCCTCACTGATGTGGTCCAGAGGAAAGCAGAGCAATACATCTGGGCAGACCTCCGGTGTGAAAGGAAAGCAGAACAAGGCGTTTGGCACCAGCAGGAGTTGCTAAAGGCACCATCCAATGTCCTTAGGTACTCCATTCCAGATTTGTCTAGGGTTTACTCCTTAGCCGTTTCTTCTCCCAAGGTGTTGCCATTAGTATATAAAGCCCTTCACAACTTGGGACCAGCTCACTTGCGATACTGTTTTGTTCCATATATGCCCACTTGGCACCTTCAACCTGCGGAACTGACACTGCTACAAATGCCCCGTAACACTCGTTCCGCACTTGTAATAAATCCATCTTTCAGTGTGGCTCTTTGGGACTCCCTGCCTCTTGACACTGGACAGGAAAGGCCTTCACTGTTTTCTTTTCAGCTCCTGCTCAAAACATTCTTGTTTAGACAATCCTACCCGGATACATGGACGCGGGTGGCGCTGTGGGTTAAACCACAGAGCCCAGGACTTGCCGATCAGAAGGTCGGCGGTTCGAATCCCCACGACAGGGTGAGCTCCCGTTGCTCGGTCCCAGCTCCAGCCAACCTAGCAGTTCGAAAGCACGTCAAAGTGCAAGTAGATAAATAGGAACCACTCCGGCGGGAAGGTCAACGGCGTTTCCGTGCACTGCTCTGGTTCGCCAGAAGCGGCTTAGTCATGCTAGCCACATGACCCGGAAGCTGTATGCCGGCTCCCTCGGCCAATAAAGCAAGATGAGCACTGCAACCCCAGAGTCGGTCACGACTGGACCGAATGGTCAGGGGTCCCTTTACCTTTTACCCAGATACATAGGATGTCAATATGTGTTTCGATCTGTCTTCATATTCTTCTTGGTGCTAGCTAGCTATTTATTTATTAGATGTTTCAGATAGTTGTTTTTAACTTTTTTCTTTTTTATGATTTTTATTAATTTTCTAATTTACATTTTAAAGTATTCATAATAATAATAATAATAATTTTTTATTTATACCCCACCCTCCCCAGCCAAGGCCGGGCTCAGAGCGGCTTACAAGCAATAATAAAAACATTCAGACAGTAATACCATAAAATGTCATATTAAAAGGCAATCAGAAACCATGCCTATTCCTGCATTGCATGAGTTGACCTTCCAACTGTACAATTCCAAGGAAGGTAAATGGCGTTTCCATGTGCTCCTTTTTCCGTCAGTGTTCCGTTGTGCCAGAAGCGGTTTAGTCCTGCTGGCCACATCACTCAGAAAGCTGTCTGCGGACAAACGCCAGCTCCCTCGGCCTGAAAGCGAGATGAGCGCCGCAATCCCATAGTCGCCTTTGACTGGACTTTAACCGTCCAGGGGTCCTTTACCTTTTCACCTTTTTTTTTTACAATTCCAAGGAGAGGACCTTCTCGGTAGTGGCACCCACCCTGTGGAACACCCTCCCATCAGATGTCAAGGAAATAAACAACTATCTGACTTTCAGAAGACATCTGCAGGCAGCCCTGTTTAGGGAAGTTTTTAATGTTTGATGTTTTACCATGTTTTTAATATTCTGTTGGGAGCTGCCCAGAGTGGCTGGGGAAGCCCATCTAGATGGGTGGGGTATAAATAATAAAATTATTATTATTAGTATCTGTTATGTATTGAGTTGAATAGGATCCAAAATGCAGCAGTCTGGTCCTAGAACAATAGGATCCAAAATGCAGCAGTCTGATTGGTCCTAGAACAATAGGATTCAGAATGCAGCAGTCTGATTGGTCCTAGAACAATGCAGCAATATGATTGGTCTGCAGGAGCCACCCAATCCGGCTCCAGATAGAAGTGAATCCACAACCTGATTGGCCTAAAGGAGAATACAAGAAAGAAGATTCCACCTAAACATTAGGAAGAACTTCCTGACAGTAAGAGCTGTTCGACAGTGGAATTTGCTGCCAAGGAGTGTAGTGGAGTCTCCTTCTTTGGAGGTCTTTAAGCAGAGGCTTGACAACCATATGTCAGGAGTGCTCTGATGGTGTTTCCTGCTTGGCAGGGGGTTGGACTCGATGGCCCTTGTGGTCTCTTCCAACTCTATGATTCTATGATTCTATGATTCTATGATTCTATGAATTCTGGAATTAGCCAATCACGTGCAACCCATTGTGTAAATAATGTATATAAAGCAGATACTTGGAGGGGACATTCACTCCTCCTCACCACTATGAGCTGAATAAAGAGCGGGAAATCCACTCTCGACTCATCGAGTATATTTCAGTATCCATGTTTGGAATGAGATGGAATGTGTCACGTCCCGGCTTCAATCACATATCCACAGATACTGCCGCAGGCCACCTGAATCCAGCTCACATACCACATATAAGAGCATATAAGATCTGGATCAGGCCAAGGGCTCATCTAGTCCAATATCCTTTTCTCACAGGGGCTGATCAGATGACCTGATGGGAAGCCTGGAAGCAGGACCTGAGTACAGCAGCAAATCTCCCCTCCTGTAGTTTCTAGTGACTGGTATTCAGAAGCCTTACTGCCTCTGGGAATCACTCCAACCAAGCACAACCTCCTCTGAGAAATGTTTTAACATTGTTTATTGTTGTTGCTTAAAACCAACCCTGAACACATTAACATACCAGCATGCAAATCTATCCAGAGGAGAAAGATCTGTATAGGACAGTTTGCTGCCTGCTTAAATAAATACGAGGTGAATATACCGGTACATAATGTTTTTTTAAAAAAAATCAAGGAAAACTCTTTTTTTATGTAGTTTTTGCATAAGGTGAATGCTGAACACAAAACTTTTATATATCTGGAAAGCAGCTGGAATACTGCCTCTTTTGGCAATTTAATTGTTTGCTGGAGAACTGGCAGGATATTTTCAAATGTTTGCTGTCCTTAGGATCTGTTCTGCTTCGATTCCAATTTTTGAAACAAACCCCCCCCCCACACACCGTCCAACTTCCAAGACGCATTGCCAGACTTTATTTAAAGTACGCTCAGTTTTCAAGCGTCTCGGAAGCCGAACGTTTCAGTTTTTGAACGCCGAAAATCCGGAAGTAATTGCTTCTGTTTTTGAACGCGCCTCGGAAGTTGAACGGCTTCTGCTGAGGTTTTTTTTTAATTTTCTCCGCTGAAATTGCAGGCTGCCCTTTGCGCCTTGGTTTTCGAACATTTTGGAAGTTGAACGGTCTTCCAGAACGGATTACATTCGAAAACCAAGGTTCCACTGTAACTGGGGTATTTTTTTTTGCTAAACTCTGAGCATTTATACAGTTTCTCCACCGTGAGAGGGTTCTCAGACAGGGTAGTCGTGACTGTTCTATGTATGGGGAAAGCTTCGTTTTTATGATTTCTCCCCCGGGTGCATTTTCTTATGTGAAGTGAGATGGTCGCTCCGACTGAAGCTCTTGCCACACTCCAGGCATTTATACGGCTTCTCCCCTGTGTGCATCCTCTGGTGGATAGTGAGGCGGTAACTCCGGCTGAAATTCTTCCCGCACGCCAAGCATTTGTAAGGCTTCTCTCCGGTGTGGATTCTCTGGTGTGAGGTGAGGTCGGTGCTCTGACTGAAGCTCTTCCCACACTCGGCGCACATGTACGGCTTCTCCCCCGTGTGCGTCCTCTGATGTAAAGTCAGGTGGTCGCTCCGGCTGAAGCTCTTTCCGCACTCCGAGCAGGTGTAGGGCTTCTCCCCTGTGTGGGTTCTTTTGTGTGCAGTAAGGTTTGACACTTGGATGAAGCTCTTTCCGCACTCGGAGCACTTGTACGGCTTCTCGCCCGTGTGGACTCTCTGGTGGGCCTTCAGGCTCGATTTGCAGCTGAAGCTTTTGCCGCACACAAGGCACTTGTTCGGCCTCTTTCCCTTCTGCTGGCTGAGGAATTCGTGGAAGTTGCCGACCTGAATGGCGACGGACTTATTCCTCCTCTTCTCGTTTGGTTCCAGATTCCTTCTCGGCTGCCTGTTTGGCCTGCCTCGATCTTCAGAGTGCTCTTCCACCTCCTGATGCAGAAGTGTTTCTGAAGATGCTGCGTCTGGCTCCACCTCAATCTCGCCGTCCCACACAGCTCCTGCTGGGATAAAGGCAAAGAACTAGCAAAAGAAGGAACATTTTATCACATGTGGTGGGAATGTAAAAAAGTGAAAAACTTCTGGGAAATGATATATAATGAGATGAAAAAGATGTTGAAATATACATTTATTAAGAAACCAGAAGCATTTTTGCTTGGCATTGTAGGAGATGATATAAACAGAAAGGATTGCAAGTTGTTTTTATATGCAATGATGGCAGCAAGAATATCACACTGACACAAAAATGGAAGCAAGAAGAACTACCGACGAGAGAAGAATAGAGGATGAAATTGATGGACTATGCAGAATTAGATAAACTAACAGGAAGGATTCAAAACCTGCGGGACCAGAGATTCTCAGAAGGCTGGAGTAAATTTGCGGACTATTTGAAAAGTAATTGTGATGAACAGATCACGCTAGTAGGTTTGCAAGAAGTTTTGTAAGCTGAATTATTTGAAATATTGCAAAGAAGACAATGAGGTGAATTATTAGTTAAGGATAATTAAAGGTAATATGAAATTAAGAAATGCATAATAAGTGACAAAGAACGGAAAATCACCAGAGGCATTGACGGAAGTCCAAAAATATTGTATAAGATGAGAAGTTAAGCTGTATGAATGTTGGAATTAATATTTTTTTTTAAAATTTAATAAAAATGTATATAAAAAAAGGCAAAGAACTATCAAGAGTTCAAACCAAGAGACTCTAATTAGCAGAGGTGATCATTAGCAAATAGGTGAGGAATGGAAAAGCCTTCCGGATACTGGTGAACTACAGCTCCCAGCAAGCACAGCCAGTGGTCAGGTCTGGTGGGAGTTATAGTCCAGCAACATCTGTTCCACAATTCTGATCTACAAAGCAATAAAGCAGGGGTGACTCCCCAAACGTCTTGTCCTGTGAAGCACTTGAAGATCGGGTCTTGGCTGACCACTTTATGAATTTCCTGCCTGTTGTAGCATCTAGCCCAGCCCTCTGCAATGCAGAGGTCAACCAAGGGAGCAACTACCGAACGCTGAAGAACTTAAGGGACATGGGTGGCGCTGTGGGTTAAACCACAGAGCCTAGGACTTGCCGATCAGAAGGTCAGCGGTTCGAATCCCCGCTACAGGGTGAGCTCCTGTTGCTCGGTCCCTGCTCCTGCCAACCTAGCAGTTCGAAAGCACATCAAAGTGCTCCGGCGGGAAGGTCAACGGCGTTTCTGTGCGCTGCTCTGGTTTGCCAGAAGTGGCTTAGTCATGACCTGGAAGCTGTACGCCGGCTCCCTCGGCCAATAAAGCGAGATGAGCGCCACAACCCCAGAGTCGGCCACGACTGGACCTAATGGTCAGGGGTCCCTTTACCTTTACCTTTGTAGCATCCAGCCCAGCCCCCTGCAATGCAGAGGTCAGCCAAGGGAGCAACTACAGAGCGCTGAAGAACTTGGGCGCAAGCAAGGCTTGTCCCTCCTTACCCAGCAGGCCGGCCTTGTCGATGTCGTCGTCATATTCTTGCTTGGCCTCCCTGCACAGCTGTCTCTGCTCGACCTCAGATGGGGCCTGGCCTGCCTCACTGGAACACAGAGCTGCCTTCTCAAAGACCACCTGAAACAGCAGAGAACCTTTTTGAGATCATAGTAGAGTTGGAAGGGACTCCAACCCCACGCAATGGAGGAATCTCAGCTCCAGCATCCATGACAGGTGGCCACCCAACCTCTGCTTAAAAACCTCCAAGGAAGGAGAGTCCACCACCTTCCAAGGGAGACTGTTCCACTGTCAAACAGCTCTGACTGTCAGAAAGTTATTCTTGATGTTTCATTGGAATCTCCTTCCTTGTAACTTGAATCCATTGGTTCGGGTCCTACCCTCCGGAGCAGGATAAAACAAGCTTGCTCCATCTTCCATGGGACAGACCTTCAGATGTTTGCAAGTGGCTATCTCCTCTCCTCTCAGTCTCCTATATCAGGGGTGAGGAACCTGTGAACCTCTGGTTTTTGCTAGACTAAATGTCCCATCATCCCCAAGGATTTAGAGCAGCGGTTCTCAACCTGTGGGTCCCCAGATGTTGTTGGACTACAACTCCCATCATCCCTGAGCTCTGGCCTTGCTAGCTAGGGGTGATGGGAGTTGTAGTTCTACAGCATCTGGGGACCCACAGGTTGAGAAAGGCTCATTTAGAGAACTGGAAGCTGAGGTGGCCTCTGTGGCTAGCAGTGCCTTTTACCAGCTATGGTCAGGAAGCCAACTGCAGCCATTCTTGGACAGGGGTAGCCTGACCACAGTCATCCAAGCGTCGATAGCCTCCAGACGCAATTATTTCAATGTGCTCCATGTGGGGACATTCTTGGGCCTGGTCTGGAGGCTCCAGCTGGTGTAAAATGCGGACTGTTGATGGGGACAGACTACCGCCAGCACATATACCCTGTTGAACTTCCAGTGCTCCCTGAAGACATTTTTTAAAAATTCCAGCAGGCAGTTTAAGTCTGATTTTATACTTTTAACTGATGTTTACCTTTCCTGTACTGTATCTTAGAAAACCACTTAGAGACTACTGCATTTAAGCAGCATACAGTGGTACCTCAGGTTACAGATGCTTCAAGTTACAGACGCTTCAGGTTACAGACTCTGCTGACCCAGAAATAGTACCTCGGGTTAAGAACTTTGCTTCAGGAATGAGAACAGAAATTGTGCGCCAGCGGCAGCAGTGGGAGGCCCTCATTAGCTAAAGTGGTACCTCAGGTTAAGAACAGTTTCAGGTTAAGAATAGACCTCCAGAACGAATTAAGTTCGTAACCAGAGGTAAAAAGGTAAAGGTAAAGGTACCCCTGCCCGTACGGGCCAGTCTTGCCAGACTCTGGGGTTGTGCGCCCATCTCACTCAAGAGGCCGGGGGCCAGCGCTGTCCGGAGACACTTCCGGGTCACGTGGCCAGCGTGACATCGCTGCTCTGGTGAGCCAGAGCCGCACACGGAAACGCCGTTTTCCTTCCCGCTAGAAAGCGGTCCCTATTTATCTACTTGCACCCGGGGGTGCTTTCAAACTGCTAGGTTGGCAGGCGCTGGGACCGAGCAGTGGGAGTGCACCCCGCCGCGGGGATTCGAACCGCCGACCTTTCGATCGGCAAGCCCTAGGCGCTGAGGCTTTTACCAGAGGTACCACTGTATAAATGGCTTAAATAAAAACAAGCAAGCAACAGGGTCAGGAAGGTAATAAGGGGTTAATTATTCTTCCCCCCCTCCCCAAAAAAAATCCTGAGGGACAAATTAGGATTGAGTTTTCCTAGAAAATGGAACTCCTTATAAAGGAAAACCTAATGGAGTAATTGCATTTATAATTTATGGTTTTTATTTATTGCACCTTTTCCTCCAAGAGGCTTGAAGTGGTGTGCATGGCTCTTCCCCATCTCAATTAACCCCCACCTGTGAGGTAGGTTAGGGTGAGAGACAGTGACTGGCCCGAGGGTACCCAGAAAACGTGCTGTGAATTCACGGCATGCTGTACGTTGAAGGAAAATTATATATACTGTTGGTATTGAACACTAAGTAAGTTAGCAAATATCAGGTACAAATATCTGCTGGAAATGTAAAGAAAAAGAAGGCACCTTTTATCATATGTGGTGGACGTGTAAGGTAATAAAAGCATTCTGGGAAATGATATATAATGAATTGAAAAAAATGTTTAAAATAAGCAGAGGCTTTTCTGTTAGGAATTTTAAAGGTTACCCAGCGAACTTCATCTGAAGGAGCGTCTCCACCCCCATCGTTCTGCCCGGACACTGAGGTCCAGCACTGAGGGCCTTCTGGCGGTTCCCTCATTGCGAGAAGCCAAGTTACAGGGAACCAGGCAGAGGGCCTTCTCTGTAGTGGCACCTGCCCTGTGGAACGCCCTCCCATCAGATGTTAAAGAGAAAAACAACTACCAGACTTTTAGAAGACATCTGAAGGCAGCCCTGTTTAGGGAAGCTTTTAATGTTTGATGCATTACTGTATTTTAATTTTTGTTGAAAGCTGCCCAAAGTGGCTAGGGAAGCCCTCCAGATGGGTGGGGTATAAATAATAATTAATTTTATTTTATTTTATTTTATTTTATTTTATTTTATTTTATTTTATTTATTATTTTATTTATTTTATTTTATTTTATTTTATTTATTTTATTTTATTTATTTTATTATTATTTTATTATTTTATTTTATTTTATTTTATTTTATTTTATTTTATTTTATTTTATTTTATTTTATTTTATTTTATTTTATTTTATTTTATTATTATTATTATTATTATTATTATTATTATTATTATTGCCGAGTGGGGATTTGAACCCTGCTCTCCCAGGTCCTAGTCCGACACTCTAACCCATGGGTAGGAAAATTAAGGCCCAGTGACCGGATCCGGCCCAATCGCCTTCTAAATCCAGCCCGCGGATGGTCTGGGAATCAGCGTGTTTTTACATGAGTAGAATGTGTGCTTTTATTTAAAATGCATCTCTGGGTTATTTGTGGGGCATAGGAATTCATTCATTTTTTTCTTTCCAAAATATAGTCCGGCCCCCCACAAAGTCTGAGGGACAGTGGACCGGCCCCCTGCAGAAAAGGTTTGTGGACCCCTGCTCTAACCCCTACGCCACGCTAGCTCTCCGAGGTTGTGAGTTTGTGCCTCACCCGGAGCATACGTCGTCCCACACTGCTGTTGCACTTTCAACACCACTAACTTCAATATGTGTCATCTGCAACCAGACAACGAACTCTGCCAAGTGGCCTCACCTGGCTTACCTGCCTCTCGGCCTCTCGCTGCCTCAGCAGGAAATCCTCCGCCAGGGTGACAGCTTGGCAGCAGGTCTCCGGGCCACATTCCCTCACCCAGCCCTGGATCTCTGGTGGCAGAATAGCCAGGAACTGCTCCAGGATCAGCAGCTCCAGGATCTGCTCCTTGGAGTGCCTTTCGAATCTCAACCACCGGCGGCAGAGTTCCTGGAGCCGCCTGTAAGCCCCTCTCGGCTCCTCGGCCTCCTGGTAGCAGAAGCGCCGGAAGCGCTGCCGGTTCTTCTCCCGCTTCATGGCGTCCCCTCGCAAGATGGCCGCCTTCACTTTCCCATAATCCTCCCTGTCTCTGGCCTCCAAGCCGATAAAAGCCCGCTCGGCCTCTCCGCTGATGGCCGGCAGGAGGTGGGCTGTCCAGTCCTCCGTGGGCCACCGGCAGGCTTCGGCCACTTGCTCGAAGGAGGCCAGGAAGGCCTTGGCGTCGTCCCAGGGGCTGGGCTCTTCTGGTGGCGGAGGGGATGGCCAGCACACTTCTTTGGGGGTCTCCGCCGTCCTCAGGAACTCCCGCCACTGGGCTTCCCAGTGACGGAGGGAGTCCTCAGCCGGTTCCTGCTTCACAGCTCCCCGGGGTCTCCTCTGCAGGAATTCCCCGACACCCCTAGCCTGGAGGACGTGAAGGGCTTTTCCTTTTCCTTCCGCTGAGGTGGGACCTGCAAGTTCTTGCTCCTCCATTTCCATCCCAAGTGCGAAAGAGGTGCGTCGACCTACAAAAATGGGGGAAGAGATCAACGAGAAAGGAAAAGGAGAACGAGCACAAGGTGACCTGTCAGCGCCTGACATAAGATTGTCCATTCATGCGGATCCCAAGAACTTCTAAAGAGTCAGGAAGAAGCAAGGGGGCTTAAGAGCTTACCCCTCCCTTTGTTTTATCCCCCCAACAGAGTGGTTAGGATGACAACTGTGGCTGTTGGCACCCGTCTGTCTCGAGAGAACAATGGCAGTGCACCTCCGTGGGTGAGGTCAAACTGCTACGTCACACACCGAAGCAATAGCTGTCAACTTTCCCCTTTTTAAGGGCAATTCCCTAATCCGAATAGGATCGCAAAAGAAAAGGGGAAAGTTTGACAGCCATGCAAACTAGCAGCTATGACCTCCCCGGGGGCAAGCCTGGCAGCGTGTCTGAAGATCCTGGCTGCCCAGAGGACAAGACCCGTCTCCTCGCTCACTGATGTGCTCCAAGGAAAGCAAAGAAAGGCACCAGCTTGGAAGGAGGCCAAAACAAGGCCCCACCAGCCATCTAAGGGGCTCCATTTCGGATTTGTGTGGGGTTTGCTCTTGAGCCTTTTCTTCTTCTGAATATTTCCCGCAAGGTTTAGGATCAGAGCTTTCCTTCTCCCAGATGGGCTGCCTTCCCAGGTGGGGGAGCCCCATCTGCCCCTCACTTCCCTCTACAGCACGTGCAGAAACCACCTTCTTGACTGTTGGGTCCATTCTTGGTCTCATCTGTTCCACGGAGCTTGTCTTTACTTGCAGGAGAAGCCCCTAACTCACCGAGGGTTTGATACCCATCGGCTACGCTCACCTGGTTTAGTCGGCCAGTCAAATACGTTTCCCAGGTCTGTGGCTGCTGTTTATTTATTTATTATTATTATTTTCAGTGCAAAATTACAACAAAAATTACAAACACTGAATCCAAAATAAAACAGTACAAACAAGAAAAACAAAACAAAACACAGAGAAAAAGAACACAAAAAACAAAAAAAAACCACATCTACAAATAAAATGATATCATTCTAATCTAGTCATTACATACATATACACATATTGACGTCCTTCCTTAGTTCTAAGACCTCAAAATTTTTACTCTTTCTAGGTTGTTGTGTCTAATACAGATTACCTCTATCTTTATACTTTTTACACCATTTTTCTCTTTCCTTACCCCTGCAAAGCATCATTCATTACATACCGATATACTTACTCCAGAACAATGTTTTTTCATATACTCTTTAGCACATCCCCACTCTTTTAATAATTTTTGGTCCGATTGTCCCCTTATGAATGCTGTGAGTCTTGCCAGGTTTATATATTCACAAAATTTAATTTGCCATTCTTTCATTGATGGATTTTTTCTCCCTTTCCAATTTTTTGCTATGAGCATCCTGGCAGCTGTTGTCGCGTAGAGGAATACTTTCCTATGATTGTCAGGAATATCGTTTGTGATTATACCTAAAAGGAATGCCTCCGGTTTTTTACTAAAAGATATTTTAAACATCTTTTTGATTTCGTCATATATTTCATCATATCTTTTAAACAATTTTGGAATGAAATATATGCACGCTGACAGCTTCTAGGACATCCTATCTGCTGATGGATGGCCACACCGACTCAGCCCCGAACACACTGACCAGATGCTTGGAAGCTGTGGCTGGATGGTTTCGTGGGAGCCGATTGAAACTAAATCCTTCGAAGACAGAGGTCCTATGGCTAGGTCGGGATGGCATGGGGATGAGGGACCAACTCCCTTCTCTTGCGGGGGCCCAATTAGTGCCATTGCCTTCCGTTAAGAGTTTGGGTGTAATCCTTGACGCCTCCCTTTCCATGGAGGCGCAAGTTACAGCAACAGCCAAGCCGACATTTTTCCACCTTCGCCGCATCAAGCAGTTGGTCCCTTACCTTTCCCGCCCCAACCTGGCCACAGTGATCCATGCGACGGTCACCTCCAGGCTTGACTACTGTAATTCGCTCTACTCGGAGCTGCCCTTGAAGCTGTCCCAGAAACTCCAGTGGGTGCAGAATGCTGCAGCGAGGCTCCTCACGGGGTCTCTGCCATGGGAGCATATTCACCCAGTACTTTTCAAGCTGCACTGTGGAGTACAGGGTCAGATTTAAGGTGCTGATTTTGACCTTTAAAGCCCTTCACGGCCTAGGACCTTCGTACCTATGGGACCGCCTCTCCTGGTATGCCCCACGGAGAGCCTCAAGGTCCATAAATAACAACACCCTAGTGGCCCCAGGCCCTAAGGAAGTTAGATTGGCTTCAACCAGAGCCAGGGCCTTTTCAACTCTGGCCCCGGCCTGGTGGAACGCTCTGCCTCATGAGACCAGGGCCCTGCGGGATCTGATTTCTTTCCGCAGGGCCTGTAAGACAGAGTTGTTCCGCCTGGCCTTTGGCTCGGAGCCAATTTGATTCCCTCCCTCCCTCTCTTTCTTTTTTCTTTTCCTTCTCCTCCTGCGATGAGGCTACATTTTAATATTTTAATGTTCCATTATTTTAATGTTGTATTTTGTTTTTAAGTTGTAATCATTCTTCTTGTTTTTATTATTGCTTGTAAGCCGCTCTGAGCCCGGCCTTGGCTGGGGAGGGCGGGGTATAAATAAAAAATTATTATTATTATTATTATTATTATTATTATTATTAGAGCCACAGGTGGGAGCTGAGTGCAGGTTGAGGACCAAAGGTGGGCAAACTGCCCCAGGAGCATGACATGCCCCCCCACCAGAGGTACCACCCCTCCCCTTATACACAAAGATAAAAGAAATAATCACATCTACTTTCCCTCTGGTCCTGCCCATCACCCTTGGCAGTGGCCCCTAGGAGGCAGCCGCAAAGGGGTGGCACCCCATGGGCTGAAACAAAGCACCCTTCCACCTGCCCTAAGAGAAATAAACGCTGCCTGGAATATCCACCCACTTGGGTCTTCTTCGCTTGTCAAATCAGGGAGCAGCTGAGTGGAAAAGGAGACCCCTGACGCTGGGATGCAAAAAAAGAAGGGAATGGGATGTGTGATGAGTTTGGGGGTCCTCCCCTTTTCTGCTTCCCACCCCCTTTATTGGAACCAGCTTCTCCCCATCCTTTTTACCCGGTCAGCTGTCCATGCACCTTCCAAAATTCAGGATTTTCCCCTGCCCTCCACTCTCTCCTGCAGCTGCAAAGGAGGCCAGGGGTGCAGCAGCAACACCCTCCTTTTCCCACCCCCTTCCTTCATGCTCCTTGGCATCCCTTTCCTGCTCTTTCTAGGAAAGCTACGCTCTGTCAGCTTAACCCTTTGGAGGAAAGCCCCGTCAGGGCTGCAAGGCTCCAAACTGCAGGAAGGAGAAGGGAGCGTGGCAGTTTTCAAAGGATCTGCATTTCCCAGGCAGTAATTCAATCCCCAGCACCTTAAGATTTTTCTGCTGGATCAAGCCAATGTATTGCAAATGTCACCGTGTGCACTACATAAGAACAACAAATATTGGGGGAATACGTGCATCTCCCTGAGAATCAAAGTTTCTTTTTGGTTTTGGTTTTTCGTCGCTAGTCCTCATGATAGTGAAGCTGTGCGTGACAGCGTTCTGGCTACCGTTGCTGACATCTCTCTCCCTTCCTGCAGTTTCCAGCAAGCATTACGGCCTCCAAGTGTGGCTAGTTGCCATCAATAGCCCTTGTCCTCCAGGTATTTGTCTAATCCTCTCTTAAAGCTATCTAAGTTGGGACTCTTGTGGGAGTCCCTCAGTCCAGTATATCTGAAGGAGCGTCTCCACCCCCATCGTTCTGCCCGGACACTGAGGTCCAGCTCTGAGGGCATTCTGGTGGTTCCCTCACTGAGAGAAGTGAGGTTACAGGGAACCAGGCAGAGGGCCTTCTCGGTGGTGGCACCCGCCCTCCCACCAGATGTCAAAGAGAACAACAACTACCAGACTTTAAGACGACATCTGAAAGCAGCCCTGTTTAGGGAAGCTTTTAATGTTTGAAGCATTACTGTACAGTGGTACCTCGGGTTAAGTACTTAATTCGTTCCGGAGGTCCGTTCTTAACCTGAAGCACCACTTTAGCTAATGGGGCCTCCTGCTGCTGCCACACGATTTCTGTTCTCATCCTGAAGCAAAATTCTTAACCCAAGGGACTATTTCTGGGTTAGCAGAGTCTGTAACCTGAAGTGTATGTAACCCAAGGTACCACTGTATTTTAACATTGTGTTGGAAGCCGCCCAGAGTGGCTGGGGAGACCCAGCCAGATGGGCGGGGTATTATTATTATTAATAATAATAATAATAATAATAATAATAATAATAGCTCAACTGTGCACTGTGTGAAGTCCTTTCTTTTATCTGTCCTGAATCTTCCAACCTTCAGCATCGTGGGATATCCGCAAGTTCCAGTGTTACAAAAAGGTGGGGGAAAGTTCTCTCTTTCCGACTTCTCGAACATCCATCTTCGTTGTAAATGGATGGGGTAGCAAGGGGAAGAGGGAAAGGCTTGGGCCTCATTCACACCATGGGTTTAAGGCTTTATGTTGGCTTGTGTTTGTCTCCAGGGACAATGGAGTGCGCCTCTGGGGGTGAAGCAAAACTGCTTCGTTAACAGCACTGAAGTGACCTTCCCGGGTCACAAACCTGGGCAGTGACCACCCACCACACCACACACACACACACACACACACCGCCTCACTGATGTGGTCCAAAGGAAAGCAGAGCAAGATGTTTGGCACCAGCTTGGAAGGAGGCAAACGAGGCACTATCCAACCACCTTAGGGACCCCCCTCTGGATTTGTAAAAGGGTTTACTCCTTAGCCTTTTCTGTTCCTGAAGGCATCCTGTGAGGCAGCAGAGCTTTAGGATCAGAGTTTTCCTTCTCCTAGGTGGGCTACCTGCAGCACATGCAGAAACCATCTTCTTGATTGTGAGATTCACTACTGATCTCACCTGCTCCATCCGCCACAGTCTGTCTTTGCATGCAGGGGAAGTCCCTAACTCACTGAGGGTTTGAGACCCATCGGCTGCCCTCACCTGGTTTAGATGGCTATTTGAAGCCATTCCCTGGGATCGTGGCCGCTGTCGCGTGCTGACGGCTTCTAGGAGCCACAGGTGACAGCTGAGTGCAGGTGGGGACCAAAAATGGACAAACAACCCCAGAAGGAGCAGGACATGACCTCCACCAGAGGTACTGCCCCCCCAACACCCCATACGCCCCTTAAAGCGCTAAGACACCACATTATCATGGCTGCCCACGAAAAAATTCTGGGAGATGTGGTTTGTTAAGGGTGCTGGGAGTTGTTAGGAAAGAGCTCCTGTTCCCCACACAGTGCTACAATTCCCAGAGTTCCCTGGGAAGAGGAAAGAATAATTGAAGCATTTTGGGGACTCCTCACAATTCTCAGCACCCTTAGCCTACAGCTCCCTGAATTCTTGTGTGGGGGGGGAGCCATTACTCTTTAAAGTGGTATCACAGCGCTTTAAGCATATGGGTTGAAAGTGGCCACCCAGCAGAATTCCACTTCTCAGTCAAGGTGACTGGTGTCTTTTGGGGTTGATAGGGTAGAAAACTGGGAGCCCAACAGTAGTAGTAGTAGTAGTAATAATAATAATAATAATAATAATAATAATATATTTATACCCTGCCCATCTGGCTGGGCATCCCCAGCCACTCTGGGCAGTTCCAAACAGAAGAAGACGAGGAAGAGGAAGAGGAAGAGGAAGAAGAAGAAGAAGAAGAAGAAGAAGAAGAAGAAGAAGAAGAAAGCAGCGATAAAACAAAACATTAAAAACTCCCCATAACATTTCCCTAAACAGGGCTGCCTTCAGATGTCTTCTAAAAGTCAAACAGTTGTTTATTTCCTTGACATCTGATGGGAGGGCGTTCCACAGGGCGGGCGCCACTACCAAGAAGGCCCTCTGCCTGGTTCCCTGTAACATCACTTCTTGCAATGAGGGAACCACCAGAAGGTGCTGGATCTCAGTGTCCGGGCTGAACGATGGGGGTGGAGATGCTCCTTCAGGTCTACTGGGCCGAGGCCATTTAGGGCTTTAAAGGTCAGCATCAACACTTTGAATTGTGCTTGGAAATGTACTGGGAGCCAATGGAAGTCTTTCAGGACCGGTGTTATGTGGTCTCGGCAGCCACTTCCAGTCACCAGTCTAGCTGCCGCATTCTGAATTGTAGTTTCCGGGTCACCTTCAAAGGTAGCCCCACATAGAGTGCACTGCAGTAGGTGGCACCAGAGGCAATGGCACCTAATTTTAGTTTTCTCTCCATCTTCTGCTTCCCTGTTAAGTTCATAAAGGGGCAGCACTCAGTGAGGAAAAGGAAGGTGACAGCCAGGGCCACCTTCTGGACAGGATGACAGGCTTTTGTGGGCTAGTTGTGGGCAGACTGAGTTTGGTGGGGCAGTGCCCCATTGGCTCTCACAAACCAGCTTCCATTGTCACTCTAGAGGCGGAAGTCCTAGGCTCGAATGAGAAATAGGCCTGGACTAAGGCCACTTCCTATGAACATTTGTCACCCGCTCTGCTCCTAGAATTGCAGTGTTGGAAGGAAAGGGACCCCAGGGTCATCTAGTCCAGCCCCTGCAATGCAGGAATCTCAACTAGATCAGCCATGACAGATGGCCATCCAACCTCTGCTTAGAAACTTCCAAGGAAGGACAGTCCACCACCTCATGAGGGAGTCCGTTCCGCAGCCAAACAGCAACATCTGGAGGGCCAAAGGTTCACCACACAACAGGGAGGCACAAGCAAGCTCAGGGAATCCTAAATTCTGCAGAAGTGCAAAGTATCTTTCGAGGAGAAAAATCTCTTAACTGAGGGGGCCAGGGAGGAGATAACCCAAAAGATATCAGTGAAAACTGGGGAGGCTCAAGGACCACAGAATGTTGACTGTTGGAGAGGGTTAGAATGGAGTATCTTGCAAAAGGGTATGGCTGGCAGGCTGGCACCCTGAACAGGAGGCGCTCCACGATGCAACACTTTGTTGCAGATCTCACTCATTTTCCCCACGTGAGTACTTTCATGCGAATTTCAGAAACGTGCTTTGACCGGAACCCTTTTCGCTCCAAATAGTTACACAGTTTTATCCTTATTTTATTCTGTTTATATAAAAATTAATTACCATGAAGTGATTCACGCCATCCCACTGAGGCATCTGATCAAGACCTGCATTTTAAAATGAGCTTAAAAAATATATTTGCAAATGTTTGTATGTTTCATGCCAGACATAAAGCAGCTGGCTGAGTACTCTGGCAGCTGTTTATCTTCCTGTTCAAGGGCCCCCCTGATTTATTGCAGGAGACACGTTTCTCAAAGTTGTAAAAGGAAATTACAGGCTAGGAGCAAAAGGTCATACTGACCATACATATTACAGAATACAATCAAGCTGCAAAAACACTAATTAAGAGTTGGTAAATAGTAAGAATTATTGTGCCTCCCATCAGACTCGAGCCACATCTTCCTAAGGTTAAAGGGCAAGAGCTAATGGGAAACAGCAGCTGGCTTGAAAGGGGGTTGTAAACCGAAGAGGCTTCTCTCTGAAGCTGTTTTGAAGCTATTTTTACTAAGTTCCTTTTTACTTTGAAAAGGCCTTTTCTTCTAAAAATCTATATATGTTATGTATGAAATATATTGGCTTAAATGTAATTATGCAAAGGATTTAGAAAGTAAGAAATGTTAGATTCTTATGTTAGATTTCATTGATGGTGTGTGAGAAGGTGAACCCAAGATCTCTGTTTAAGATGAAATTAAAAAACCATGCACCATCTGTTTTAGCCATCTGTTTTGCAGTGAATAGGGCAATAGGGCAAAAGGTGAAATGGTAATTAAGGTGCCTTGTCGAGCCAAATGTAAGATATATGGCTACTTGTCTGCCATTTATGGACAGAAGGAAATATAGCTCTTTGTCTCCCATAAAAGGTAATAGGAAATGGGTGTATCTTTTATGATTGGTTCTAGCAAACAGCCAATAGGAATTTCAACCAGGCTGATTGGACAGAGGCAGCCAAAGGAGGAGCAAGGGGGCTGGGCTGAGGAAATATAAGTGCTGGCCATCAGGGCTGGAGGGGGCAGAGCTTTGGTAACCATATACCACTGTGTCTCTCATTTATTTGTCTGACAAATAAATTATTATTTTAATTTCTCTATTGCTGCGTTGAATATTTCATTCCAGCTAAGCGTTAACCACAAGCAGGGTGCTACACCACCAAAACACACCAACAAACAACGGGAAAAGTTCCAGAGAGAACATTAAAAACAACTACTGTTAAGACTCTGTTGCTTCTAACTACCTTCCTAGCTTCAGAAACCCAAGATGGGTGTGGCTCCGAAAAGAACAGATCCATTTGTTGTCCTAATAACGTACATGTGATTAAGGGAATTCTAGTCCGTGGCATATTAACATGCCACAATAACCGTGTCGACTTCTATGATGCCACCAGACCGTTGGCAGGATTCGTGGAAAATACTAAGACGGCCATTCCCGCGTTAAGCATGTGGGCCGGTTCGGAGGGCATCTTCCCTTCCGTGTGGATTCTCTGATGTAAAGTGAGGTTGGTGCTCTGGCTGAAGCTCTTCCCGCACTCGGAGCACGTATACGGTTTCTCCCCGGTGTGGATCCTCTTGTGCCTAATGAGGCTCGACTGGTCGCGGAAGCTTTTGCCACAGTCGGAGCACATATATGGCCTTTCCCCTGTGTGCATTCTCTGGTGTGCGCTAAGGCTCCCCCTGTGGCTGAAACTCTTCCCGCACTCCAAGCACTTGTAGGGCTTCTCACCGGTGTGGACTCGCTGGTGCTGGATGAGGCTGGGCTTGTCCGAGAAACTCTTGCTGCAGTCCGTGCACCGGTGCGGTTTCTCCCCTTTGTGAAGCTTCTGGTGCCTGAGGAAGTTTGTGCTCTTGTTGAAGCTCTTCCCGCACTCCAGGCACTGGTACGGTTTCTCCCCGGTGTGGATTATCTGGTGCGAAGCCAGGTGGGCGCTCTGTACGAAGCTCTTCCCACACTCCAGGCACCGGTACGGTTTCTCCCCGGTGTGGATTATCTGGTGCGAAGTGAGGTGTGCGCTCCGACCGAAGCACTTCCCACACTCCAAGCATTTGTACTGCTTCTCCCCTTTGGGGATTCTCGGATGTTTAGGAAGGTCGGACTGATCACAGAAGCTCTTGTTTGTGTCCGAGCATTTATACTGTTCGTCACCTCTGGGGGCATCTTGATGTGATCTAAGATCTGAACTGTGACTGAAACCCTCTCCACCATCCAGATATATATAAGAGTTTTCCTCTTTCTGGAGCGTTGCACATTTGGTAAGCTGTCTGCTCTCAATAAAGTCCCTCCCAAACATGGCGGTCTTATTTTGCTTCTCCTCTGTGTGGATTCCCCAGTGATCACTGGGAAAACCGCTCCCTCTTTTTTCTGTTTGGTTTTCCTTTTGGACCAGGGTTTCGTGGAAGTCTCCACCCTGGCGAGGGATGGACGCAGGTCTCTCTTGGCTCCAGAAATTCTCTTTCAGCTCTTCGTACTTGGCTCTTCCTGAGAAATCCCCACACAGCTCCCCTTCGTTCTTGCTTTTCCACTCATCGCCTGTTGAAATTAAGAGGAGGAATAGAGAAAACTAAATCTCTCAAACCAGTCTTCTAAAGCAGGGGTGAGGAATGTGGGGACCTCAAAGATGTTGAGAAAATGTTGACCTACCACATAAGCCAGCATGGTGTAGTGGTTAAAATTCTGGACTAGGACCTGGGAGACGAGAGTTCAAATCCCTACTTGGGTCATGAAGCTAACTGGGAGACCTTGAGCCAGTCACTGCCTTTCAGCTGGTGGGGATTGCCGTATTTTTTGCTCTATAAGACTCACTTTTTCCCTCCTAAAAAGTAAGGGGAAATGTGTGTGCGTCTTATGGAGCGAATGCAGGCTGCGCAGCTATCCAAGAAGCCAGAACAGCAAGAGGGATTGCTGCTTTCACTGCGCAGCGATCCCTCTTGCTGTTCTGGCTTCTGAGATTCAGAATATTTTTTTGTCTTGTTTTCCTCCCCCAAAAACTAGGTGCGTCTTGTGGTCTGGTGCGTCTTATAGAGCGAAAAATACAGTGGTGCCCCGCAAGACGAATGCCTCGCAAGACGAAAAACTCGCTAGACGAAAGGGTTTTCCGTTTTTTGAGTCGTTCCGCAAGACGAATTTCCCTATGGGCTTGCTTCGCAAGACGAAATGTCTTGCGAGTTCTTGCGAGTTTGTTTCCTTTTTCTTAAAGCCGCTAAGCCGTTAATAGCCGCTAAGCCGCTAATAGCCGCTAAGCCGCTAATAGCCGTGCTTCGCAAGACGAAAAAACCGCAAGACGAAGAGACTCGCGGAACGGATTAATTTCGTCTTGCGAGGCACCACTGTACGGTAAATTATGCCATTTTGGGCTCTATGAACAAAAAAAGTGGGCTATAAATGCAATGCCATAAAACAAATAAATGTTGCTCTGCTGCTCTGAGGTTTGGTTAGGGCTGACTCAGAGGCCCTACTCTGTATTATACATTTAAAGCAGTATTGTAGCAAAGAATTGTGGGAAATGTAGTTTGTTGAGGCTGCTGAGAGTTGCCCTATTCCCCTCACGGAGCTACAATTCCCAGAGTGGTTTAACAATCAATTCCTTCAAGAATGACATATTTTTGCTGGTGGGGATGTTGAGCATGAGGAATATTTCCCCCCACTTATTTTGCAAGTGCCCACTGGTAAAAAAAATTCTGGTCCAATGTGTAGCAAGAGGTATCTATTACCTTAAAGAAATACTGGACAAATGACCTTGCAGCTTCCACTTCTAAATATATAAAGACTGCAACCTAAAGAATTGGCAACGTGGCTGCTGGCAGAGCACAAAGACCGAAGATTCTGGATTCTTTGGCACTACCAATTTGGGAAATAATGGACCTCTTAATGTTTCTGCTCACAAACGTCTTCTCACACCTTCCAATTTTGTTGGCAGATTAAGAGAAGGGACACATGGGCCTCTTTCTGATATTTCTGTATTTTTTTACGTTTGTGTGTGTGTATCATATGAATGATGGAATAAAATACATTTAAGTATTCAAAACAACAACCCGATGCCTCCTCTCAGGGAACTGTGGGAATTGTAGGCAAACATATTCAAGGCAGGTGTGGAGCCAGGCTAGTGGCTTCTTTATGAATCACCCTGAGACCTTTGGGTATAGAGCGGTTTATAAATTCAATATGATGATGATGATGATGATGGTGATGACAGGTGTGACCTCAGGCAGAGGGGCATGTGGTCTGGGAAGAGTCTTAGGGGTCTGAGGTTAAGAATGTTCCAGAACATTCCAGAAGGTTCCAGAAACCATCCCCTCCTTACCCAACAGGCTTGCCTCCCTGTTGTCATCTTCCTGCTTTGCCTCCACACACAGTTGCTTCTGCTCGATATCAGACAAGGCTCGGCTTGTATCCGTCTCCTCAAATGCCGCCTGTAACAGCAGAGGGAAACCCATTCAGAGGAGAAATAAAAGGATCGTCCTAATCCCCTTTCACACCCAGTACATGGCTGCTCCTTTATAACTTATGGGGAGAAGAAAAGGAGGGCTGAATTTCTTTCTTTCTTTTTAATTGCATGTACACATATATGTGCACCTCCCAAAAACAAATCAGTCACTAACATAGCTCAGGACCTCAATACCTCAATAATACTAATACTACTAATATTAACAATGGCTGCCCCTACATACACCAATAGCCTGCCTTTCCTTCATCACGGAACTGGAGGTTAGCATTCATGGGGTTCTTAGGCAAACTCTCATCAAACAGCAAAACATAATGTCAGGGCTGCCTCAGGTCCCAGCTCACAGAGGACCAACGCCAGTCCGTTGTTATATTAAATAGTCTTTATTAAAGTTCAGCCTCTCATTTACAGCCACGGCACGCAGCTCTACGTCTTGAACCTAGACCGCCGAAGCTCCGTCTGAATCTCCTCCCCCAGGCACCAGTTCAAGACCCTAGCCTTGCTCCACCTCTTCCTCTGCTCCCTTTTCCTCTGGGTCCGCCTGTCCGTCGGGGCTTTCCCCTTTCTAGACTCTTCCGACGCTGACTCTCCCGAGTCCTCCCCCTCCCTCCGGCGAGCTTTAGGACCTGGTTCCCAATCCTGGCTTCCTGCTGTCCCGCTCGCCTGCACATTTGAACTTGGCGCGCGCGCCCAGCCTGCCACCTTCCTTCTGACCGTTATGCTGCTCCTGTCACTGCTCCCCTCTTCGGGAACGCTAGCTGGGCTTGACTCCTCCTCCCTGCTTGCTGGAGGAGACGCTGGCCCTGACCTATGGGACTCTTCCCCCCCACTACGCTCCGGTGGGGAAACTGGTCCTGATTTCCAGCTACTGTTTTGGGAGTCTCCGCTGGCCCCCTGCTTCTGGTGTGTCCCCCCTGGGACCCCCCTTGCCCTGGCCATCGGCGCCCCCTTCTGGGAATCTTCTGATTCACTGGAGAGGCTCATGGAATCTCTCGGGTCACTGTCATTCTGCTCTCCGCTGCCCTCAGATTCCTCCCCTTCGCTCTCCATTTCCTCTCTCCCCTGCGCCTCTGCTCCTGAGCCCCTGACACATAATAATAATAATAATAATAATAATAATAATAATAATATACCATGGCCAGCAGCTTCCCTTCTCAACCCCTGCTCCAGCACAGAGTTGGAAGGGACCTCAGGAGCCATCTTGTCCAACCCCCATCTCAGCATGCAGTCCCCCATCCAATTCGAAACCTCACCAGACCCTGCTTAGCTTTGCTGAATGGGCCCGCGGTTTCGCTGCTGCAAAGCAAGCCCGACAGCAAACATGCTTCACCTGCTTGGACGGCTTCTTGGCCCCCCGCAGCCTCAGGAGGAAGTCGTCCGCCAGGGCCACCGCCTGGGAGCAGGTCTCCGGCCCGCGTGGCCTGACCCAGCTCTGCATCTCGGGCGGCAGGACGGCCAGGAACTGCTCCAGGATCAGCAGCTCCAAGATCTCCTCCTTGCTGCAGCTCTCGACTCTCAGCCACTGCCGGCAGAGCTCCCGGAGGCGGCTGTGAGCCCCTCCGGGACCCTCGGCCTCCTGGTAGCGGAAGCGCCGGAAGCACTGGCGCTGCTCCTCCTGCCGCATGGCGTCCCCTCGCAAGATGGCCGCCTTCACTTTCCCATAATCCTCTCTGTCCGCGGCTTCCAAGTTGCCAAAGGCACGCTCAGCCTCTCCGCTGAGGGCCGGCAGGAGCCGGGCTGCCCACTCTTCCTTGGGCCAGCGGCAAGCTTTGGCCACTTGCTCGAAGGAGGCCAGGAAGGCCTTGGTGTCGTCCCAGGCCTCTTCCGGCAAACTTGGGGACGCCCGTCCGGATGGAGGGGATTCCACTGTCTTCAGGAACTCTTGCCACTGGGCCTCCCACTGCTGCAGGGACCCCTCGTCCGGTTCCTGCTTAATCTCGTCTCCCGGTGTCCTCGGAAGGAATTCCCTGACAGTCTCGGGCTGGAGCGCCCAGGGGTCGTTCCTCCTCGACCCCTCGCCCGCCGGGTCTTGCTCCTCCATTTTCATCCCGGGCTGATCTCACAAAGAGGGCGCCGCAGGGAAGGAAATTCTAGAAGGAAGAAGGGCGAGCGCAGATTCTAAATAGTCACGTCGAGTTTCCTCCCTGGGGTGGGGAAAGAAGAGGATGGGAGAGTGAATGATCCCACAGGAGCCCCTATTTCAAGTCGGGGGCCACATTCCTTTCTGGGCAACTTTCCGAGGGCCGCATGCGACTGTTGAGCAGGCCCAGAGGCATTGGGGGTTGGAGCGGCAAACGTAGATTTTTGCCCTCGTACAGTCAGCTAGTATCGACACAACCCCTCTCCATCCAAACAGGCGAGAGGCGTGAGTTCAAGGGCACAGTCCGGTCAGGCAAAACCACTCAGGAAGGGTATGAGGCAGGGCAATGAGGGGTGAGAGCTGGGGAGACATTAAAGGGCTGGAAAGAGAAGCTTGGAGGGCCGAATTTTCCCTCCTGGCCTGAGGTTCCCCACCCCTGCACTGTTCCTAGAAATGACGGCCACGTATGCTAAATACACGGGAGGCGGGTGGCGCTGTGGGTTAAACCACAGAGCCTAGGACTTGCCGATCAGAAGGTCGGCGGTTTGAATCCCCGTGACGGGGTGAGCTCCCATTGCTCGGTCCCTGCTCCTGCCAGCCTAGCAGTTCGAAAGCACGTCAAAGTGCAAGTAGATAAATAGGTACCACTCCAGTGGGAAGGTAAACGGTGTTTCCGTGCGCTGCTCTGATTCACCAGAAGCGGCTTAGTCATGCTGGCCACATGACCCGGAAGCTGTACGCCAGCTCCCTTGGCCAATAAAGCGAGATAAGCGCTGCAACCCCAGAGTTGTCCATGACTGGACCTAATTCAGGGGTCCCCTTTACCTTTACTTATGCTAAATATATGCAGAGAATATGTAAATTATGTAATACTTGCAAATTTGAAGCAATACATTCCCCCCCTCCCCATATATTCTCCTTTGGGAGCAGGGGGGCTATTGGGTTGTTTTTTTATTTTTATTATGCATTTTGTTTTATATCTTGATTTTATTCTGTGAACTGCCCTGGTATATAAATTCAAATTCTAATAATAATAATAATAATAATAATAATAATAATGGCAGGATATACATTTAAGAAATAAAATAAATGTAATGCATAAATAAAATTTGGAATTATATAGGCACGTCAAAGGAAGTCTAGTCCAACCCCCTCCCACTGCAAGGGCATTGTCTCCATGACCCACGGTGGGAATTGTGGGGCTGGAGTGGGTGTTATTGAAATATCCTTGGCCTCGTCTGCAGTTTACATTTAAAGCAGTATCACAGAACTTTAAACAGTCCTGGCTTCGGCCCAAAGAACCCTGGGAGCTGTAAGGTGCTGAGGGTTGTGAAGAGACCCCTAATCCCTTCGCAGAATTACAATTCCCAGAGTGGTTTAATAATCAATTCCTCTTCCTAGGAAACTCTGGGAATTGTAGTTCTGGGGGGGCGTAGGGGTCTCCAAACAACCGTCAGCAGCACCCTTTAAAAACTACAATTCCCAGGATTCTTTGTGCTAAGCTATGATGTAGAGCCGAAGCTGCAGCCAAAATCCCTCCTGTGCTGCTTAAATGCAGTTTAAGGAACTGGACGGACCCACACTTACTCAGAAGTAAATCCTACTGGGTAGCATGCAATCTTTGCCATGCTCAGAGCACGTCCATTGAACTGAATGGGCTCTGGTGCACAAGCGCTTTTTCTGCGGTCTGCAGGTGGTCTGCAGCCTGTTCTTTGCATTGCATTAAATACTCTTCTCCCCACCCCAATTTTATTTTTTATTGCTTTTTTATTTCTTCTGCGGGGCTAGAACTGAGATCCTGTGAAATCCAAACAGCAATGCAATAAAATGCAATGTGTAAGAAATAAGAGGAGTGATTGAAAACTGGATTAAAAATCATACGACATCTAGCCCAGCACATTACAATTGCTACAACAGGCAGGGTGGGGGGAAATTATTAAGCGATGGGGCCAGGATCCTCAGCGGGGAGTCTCAAGTTCGATCCCCAGCATCTCCAGGTCCCATGTCTGAAATCCAGGAGAGCCGCTGCCAGCCAGTGTCGGCAGCACTGCGCTAGACAGACTCCGTCTAAGGCGGCTTCTAATGTTCCACCCTCCTTGCTTTTCAGTGTTATTATAATAATTACGCCTCATTCTTAACCTGTTTTTGACAACGCGTCGATTCCCCTTGGATCAGGGGCTCCCTCCCAGCCAGCTCTCCTTCAACTCACCAGATCGCTCCAGATCCTTCCTCAATGCAGATGGGGTACCCTAAATCTTCATATTGCTGGAGGATTTTGGGGGTGTTAGGGGGGGCATGCATGTATTTTGAAAAGGCAGTTTCCGGGCAAGGGTGGAGCCAGACCAGGAAGGGGGCTGTGCTATGCTAGGTTCACATCCTGGTCTCTTTTGCACTTATTTATTTATTTGCTTTTGAATGAATGGATCGTTCCCGGGAGATCGAGGCTCCTCCGCTCTCAGCTGATGCTTACAAGTGCCTCTCTCTTGCTGATGGGAATTGCGAAAGATTCCCTTGCCACTCAGAAACGCGTGAAATTCTTTTGCACGGGTGTTCTCCTTTTGTACACACCACGCGTTTGAAGCACATTCCTACGCAGCTCCGCCTGTGCAAGAATCCCGGGAATTGTAGTTTGCTCCTCGCAGAACTACAGTTCCCAGCACCCTCAACAAACGATCTTGCAGTGCTGGATTGTATGTCTATGGCTGTTCAGGGGGGAAAAACACTTTAAAATTCAGCAGAGAATATTCTTCTGAACTGTATACCTACTACACGAAAGTTAACAAAAATGGATTTTACGTGCTCTAATGGTAGTCAAGAGGCTGATATTGATGAACTGGAAGAGTAAAGACATGATCTCCTTTAATCTGCAATAAGAAATCAGAAATCAATGGATTGATAATATGATTACACTTGCAACAGACTGCTCACAGCTGTAGACTCTGCTTGAATAAATACGACAATATTTGGAACGAATTTATACAAAATGTAACAGACTATTCATATTTACATTAGTATTAGGATAATAATATCGAATTTATAAAAGAATGTATGGGTTAGGTATTTTTGAATATATTCATATAATGTCATTGTCCCCCTTTTATTACAAGGTTGTGTGTTTTGTTCTTTTTTTCTTTTTGTATCACTTTGCTGCTTTATATTTGATTCCCCCCCCAATAAAATATCAATTCAAAGTTGGGGGGAAGCAAAACAAATGACCTTGCAATTCACATCTTGCAGCGAGGAGTTCCAGAAGTATGGTGCAATGGTTGAGTGTGTTCAGACTTTGACCATTGGACGCCTGCCCTACTCAGAGTAGCCCTATTGAACTCAATGGGCATGGCTACTTTGGGGGCATTCGTTTGATTTAGTTCCTTTTATCTGCAGCATTCACACATCTACATTCACAGGGGCAGTTTGATCTGTTCTCATGGCATGACCCTAACTGCAAATTTATACATTGCATTTGAGCTTTAACCTGACATAGGAACACACTTCCAGAAATAGAACATAATACAGTGCAAGTTTAACATTCATTTTCATGTTATTTGCAAAAATGTGGTTTTTGTGTGTGAAATTCAGGGCCAAGGTTGCCCAGCAAGCCTCCAAGCTGAGGTTGCAAATCTGGGTCTTATACGGCAAACCTCTGAATGCTTGATGATAGTTGCCATTTAGGTTAATTTGATTTATTCCCTGGTAGCAGTCACAAAATTAAAAGACACCTGCTTCTTGGGAGAAAAGAAATGACAAACCTAGACAGCATCTTAAAAAGCAGAGACATCACCTTGCCAACAAAGGTCCGTATAGTTGAAAGCTATGGTTTTCCCAGCAGTGATGTATGGAAGTGAGAGCTGGACCATAAAGAAGGCTGATCACTGAAGAATGGACACTTTTGAATTATGGTGCTGGAGGAGACTCTTGAGAGTCCCATGGACCGCAAGAAGAGCAAACCTCTCCATTCTTCAGGAAATCAGGCCTGAGTGCTCACTGGAAGGACAGATCCTGAAGCTGAGGCTCCAATACTTTGGCCACCTCATGGAAGAGAAGACTCCCTGGAAAAGATCCTGATGTTGGGAAAGATGGAGGGCACAAGGAGAAGGGGACGACAGAGGACGAGATGGTTGGATAGTGTTCTTGAAGCTATGAACATGAGTCTGACCAAACTGCGGGAGGCAGTGGAAGATAGGAAGGCCTGGTGTGCTCTGGTCCATGGGGTCACAAAGAGTCGGACACGACTAAACGACAACAACAACAAAAGCTTGTCTAGTCCAGCTTTGTCTACAGCAATTGACAGTGGCTACCCTGGTTTTCAGGCAAGGGATGTATCCAGCCCTACCTGGAAATACTGAGGACTCAACCATGCAAAGCAGATCATTTACCAGCAAGCTACAAACCTTTGGATCCAACGCACAGCCTTGGTGTTGCTGCCCCAGTCCCTACCCCAAACACAACACTAAGGAATGGAAGCTTTCCTCCCTAAGCCTAACTGGGATTTCGAGGGAAGCAACGCCAATTCATTAAATTGTGCTTCCGTGTAAAATTGCTCCACTGAGATATGGCTATCAACGTTTCCACTACTTAAAGGCCGTCTGAACTGTAGAAACTTGGGAGTCAAGTGTATCTCCGTGCTCTGAAAAGCTGCTCCTGGTGTGTATAGGTTCAGTTCTGCGGGCTAGGAAGGGACAATCACTCAACTAAACAAAATATTGCAACACACCCTGATTCTCCAGCAATTCCTCTTCCCAAAGGGTGGCATTGCCCCGGGAACTTCTCACTGCTGGGAACCCATCACATTGGTGTGGGATGGAACCCAAATGGAGAATGGGGGCAGTGACATTCCTAGGGCACATGGAGCTGATGTTCCAGCAGCAAATGGGAGGCCTTGTAGTGTCAAAACAGATTATCTGGTTGTGGACCCCAGTCATGTCGCACCCACAACCCCACACAGTTCTGTGCCCTTTCCCTAAATTAGTGAAACAGGCAGTTCGATGTATAAATGTTTGCAAGTTGTTTTAATTTACAGCTTTTCTAAGTGTAGAATGTAAGATTCCTTGCACCGTTTGTTTGTTTGTTTGTTTGTTTGTTTGTCTGCTCAATATTTGTTGTCTTCTCTAAATAAAGAGAGCAGAGTGGCCCTAATAGGGCAAGGCAACACGGCGTGCATGGGAGAAAACAAAGAGGGATAGGATCCTCTTTAGCGTATTAAAACCATTTCCGCCACCCAAGGATTGGAATTGCCCAAAAAAGATGTCAGACTGTTTTTGTTTGCCACTACAGCGGCAAGACTTTTATTAGCCAAAAATTGGAAATCGCAAGAGATACCAATAATAGAAGATTGGCAGATGAAGATGATGGATTTTTTGGAGCTGGCCGACCTGACTGGAAGAATCTGCGACCAGAAAGGAGACACAAGAGGATTGGAAGAATTTTAAAGAATATTTGGCTCAATATTCTAACATAAGATTAAGAGAAATTTCTTGGAAGTAAGAATTAGGCTTAGGGGTAGAATAAGAATATGTTGTTAAACATTAAGGATTAACATTTTAATAAAGGAGGAGAAGTTAGTAAATGTAAGAAGTTAATATTATTAGAAATATGAATTTGGAGAACTGCTAAACAGGAGATGTAATGAAATTCAGTTAGAGGGGATTTGAGGAAGTCAGTTGTCAATGAAATGAAATTAGGATTTGGAAGTAAAAAATTCTTTTTTGTGTGTCTTTTCTATGTTGTTTTTGTGTATTGTAATGTTTTCCTTCCTTTTTCTTTCTTTTCTTATGTGATAAATGTGAAAATCAATATTTTTTTTAAAAAAAAACCCAAAACATTTCCACCACCCTTAAGGCAAAAATATTTTATTTTACTCCAGCCTCTTAGAAGAGAGCCTGGCTGCTTATGTGCCGGCGGGAATGATCTGATGTGTAATAAGGTTCTGCTCGTCGCTGAAACTTTTCCCGCAGTGGATGCTCTGATGTCTAGTGAGGCTGGATTCAAAAGCAAAGCTTGAATCTTTCGTCCCCTGCATGGACCCTCCGGTGCCGGCTGAGACTTGACTTGTAGCTGAAGCTTTTCCCACAGTCCACACACTTGAAAGGTTCTTCCCCTGCATGGATTGTCTGATGAATAGCCAGATTCGAGCTCCGCCTGAAACTTTTCCCACAATCGACACACTTGTGCGGCTTCTTCCCTCTGGTGGAGGGGAGCCTCTGGTGCCGTGCAAAGTTCTGGCTGTGGTCAAAGCTCTTCCCGGACATGTGGGGCTTTCCCCCCATGTGGATCCTCTGGTGCGCAATGAGGCTCGTGCTCCAGCGGAACCTCTTCCCGCAATCCGGGCACTTGTAGGGCTCCTCTCCTGTGTGGATTCTCTGATGTCGGAGAAGGTTTGACTTGCGGCTGAAGCCTTTTCCGCAAACACCGCAGGTGCTCTGCTTCTTCTCCAGCCGCGGTTTCTGATGGGCCGAGAGCTCGTAGAACGCTCCAAACTGGCTTAGCTGGCAGGCTACGGGTCTCTGGTTCCACATCTCTGTTCGATTCACCCCCTCGAGGACGTCTTCTCGGTTCTCAGCGTCAGCTTCCTCCTCTCCGCTCTTAATTCCTCCCGACCACACCTCATGCGATTCCCAATCCTTCTCAGTTCCCCAAGCATCATCTGTTGGAATAAGAATAAAATGAGTATGTACAGGTGTGCATGCGCATGTGTTCAGAGCCACAGAATTGTAGAACTGGAAGGGACCCAGGGTCATCTAGTCCAACCCCCTACGATGCAGGAGTCACAGCTAAAGAACCCCTGGTCTCTCCTGGCAACAGCAATTCCAACCACCTATAGCAGAAGTCCCAGTAAAGGGAGAATGGATGCTAGGACCCTCGTACCTACGGGACCGCCTCTCCCTTTATGCCCCACGGAGGACCTTAAGGTCCACAAATAGCAACACCCTAGAGGTCCCGGGCCCTAAGGAAGTTAGATTAGCCTCAACCAGAGCCAGGACCTTCTCAACACTGGCTCCGGCCTGGTGGAACGCTCTGCCTCATGAGACCAGGGCCCTGCGGGATCTGATTTCTTTCCGCAGGGCCTGTAAGACAGAGTTGTTCCGCCTGGCCTTTGGCTTGGAATCAATTTGATTCCCTTCCCTTCTTTCTTTTTCCCTTTCTCCTCCTGTGATGGAACTCCTATCTGGGGACTTCCCTGGCTTTTTTCTGGCCCTGGCTTTTTTCTGAATAGTTAGCCTTGGTGAAGACTTGACATTTTCATCCCCCCAAAAATGTTTTTGATTTGAGTTTCCATTGAAATGAGGCTGCATTTTACAGTGGTACCTCGCAAGACGAATGCCTCGCAAGACGGAAAACTCGCAAGACGAAAGGGTTTTTTGTTTTTTGAGCTGCTTCGCAAGACGATTTTCCCTATGGGCTTGCTTCGCAAGACGGAAACGTCTTGCAAGTTTGTTTCCTTTTTCTTAACACCGTTAATACAGTTGCGACTTGACTTCGAGGAGCAACTCATAGAACGTGGTGTGGTAGCCTTTTTTGAGGTTTTTGAAGACTTTGGTGATTTTTGAAACTTTTCCAAAACTTTTCCGACACCGTGCTTCGCAAGACGAAAAAAATCGCAAGACGACAAAACTCACGGAACAAATTAATTTCATCTTGCGAGGCACCACTGTAATATTTTAATGTTTTAAAGTTGTATTTTAATCTTCTTTTTTAAGTTGTATTTCAATCAATTTGTTTTTATATTGGTTGTTAGCCGCCCTGAGCCCCGTCTTGGCTGGGGAGGGTGGGGTATGAATAAAATTTATTATTATTATTAAAACTTATGGAATATGCAAAAATGGTGAAACTTAGTGGAAGAATGAAAAAATCAAGCTAACAAACTTTTTTTTATAAAAGAATGGAAATGGTTTATTGAATATTTACAGATAAATTGTGAACAGATAAAACCATTAGCAGGATTATTATAATAACCTGCAGTTTTATAAGAGTATATATTTACAATAGATAATTAAAGGAGCACGTTAAATGAATTTGGATATGCATAAGATTTTTTTTAAAAAAAAATAAGGAACTGCAGAAAGAGGGGGAAAGAAGTCCAATTTTGAAATGTTAAATTGATTGTAAAACTAATGAAATGTAAAAAAAATCCTTCCAGTAGCACCTTAAAGACCAACTAAGTTAGTTCTTGGTATGAGCTTTCGTGTGCATGCACACTTCTTCAGATTTCACAGATAATGAAATGTATAAATTTGAAAAATATAAATAAAAAACTTTTTAAAAGGACAGAAGAGAAGAGAAGGGAAAGAAATCCCATTGGATCAGCTGAGACATCAGCACCTTATGGCCCCTTCCAGCTGGTCTTAAAAACAGCTTTGTAACTAAGTTGTGTGTTGTCCTCTTCCCTCCTAAACCCTCTTCCTTTTGTGCCATGTCTTTCAGACTGTAAGCCTGAGGGGAGGGGCTGCAATGTTAATGATCTTTGTAGGACACTCTGGCAACCTTTGTAATGATGCAGGAGTTCTTGGCTGCCTGTCGTTTTTTTTCATAGATTCGTGGAATCTTAAGAGTTGGAAGGGACCTTGTGGGTCATTTAGTCCAACCCCTTGCAATGCAGGAATCTCAGCTAGGAATCTCAGTCTCCTCCTCCCTCCCAATCCCTCTTCCTTTTGTGCACTGTCTTTCAGATTCTCCCATTACAGCTCTCTATTTGCCACTCTGGGGACCCTTTTCAGCTGAAGAGAAAAGTAAATATCTTTCAGGTAAAGGAAATAAATATTTGAAATACCACACTACAAATGCTGACCCAGAGAAATGGCATAATCTCCGCTCTCCTGTTTGATCTCCCCACGGAGGAGCCCCTGTCCAGACTCAGATGACGCCTGTTCCTCTTCATCATCAGGAAATTTCAGGACTTGGGACAGGCCCGACACCTGAAATAGTTGGCAGCGTTTTCAGTTTGTTTTGCAAAGGTCTCTGCCGGCTAAGAGAACACAGTCTATGCTTCTTCACTGAATTTAAAAAACTTATTCTGCCACCTTTCAGGGCAGAGGCTCCCTGAAATATACTCGGAGTCGAGTGTGGATTTCATGCTCTTTATTCAGCTCATAGTAGTGAGGAATGGAAGTGAGGGACGCGGGTGGTGCTGTGGGTTAAACCACAGAGCCTAGGACTTGCCGATCAGAAGGTCGGTGGTTCGAATCCCCACCACGGAGTGAGCTCCCGTTGCTCGGTCCCTGCTCCTGCCAACCTAGAAGTTTGAAAGCACATCAAAGTGCAAGTAGATAAATAGGTACCACTCCAGCGGGAAGCTAAACGGCGTTTCCGTGTGCTGCTCTGATTCGCCAGAAGTGGCTTAGTCATGCTGGCCAGATGACCCGGAAGCTGTACGCCGGCTCCCTCAGCCATAAAGCGAGATGAGCGCCGCAACCCCAGAGTTGGCCACGACTGGACCTAATGATCAGGGGTCCCTTTACTTTTACCCTTTAGTGAGGAATGGCAGTTTCCCCGAACTGTCTTCTTTATATACATTATTTACAAAATGGGCCCCACGTGATTGGCTAATTCCGGGATTCTCCTGTAGGCCAATCAGGTTGCGGTTTCACTTCCACCTGGAGTTGGATTGGGTGGTTCCTACGGACCAATAAGACTGCTGCATTCTGGATCTTATTGTTCTAGGACCAATCAGACTGCTGTAATTTGGATCCTATTCAACTCAGTACATAACACCACCCAAGACAGCTAAGAAAAAGACAATTCAAACCATTAAACCAGGCTTCCTCAACCTTGGCCCTCCAGATGTTTGGAGACTACAATTCCCATCATCCCTGACCACTGGTCCTGCTAGCTAGGGATCATGGGAGTTGTAGGCCAAAAACATCTGGCGGGCCGAGGTTGATGAAGCCTGCATTAAACAATTGATTTGTAGAAGTACATATTAGATACAAAAATAAATAATATAACAATAAATGTCTGGGCAGAGATTCAAGTACTGTAAGTTGTGCGTATAGAACAAGGTCCACTCACACAACAGGGCTTCCCCTGCCCCCCCCCAAGCCCAGTGTTGTGTACCGAGTTGAATAGGATCCGAATTGCAGCATTCTGATTGGTCCTAGAACAATAGGATTCAGAATAGCAGTCTGATTGGTCCTAGAACAATAGGATTCAGAATGTAGCAGTCTGATTGGTCCTAGAACAATAGGATCCAGAATGTAGCGGTCTGGTTGGTCCGCAGGAGCCACCCAATCCAAGGTGGAAGTGAATCCGCAACCTGATTGGCCTACAGGAGAATCCTGGAATTAGCCAATCACATGGGGGCCCATTGTGTAAATAATGTATATAAAGCAGACATTTCGGAGGACCTTCCATTCCTCCTCACTACTATGAGCTGAATAAAGAGCATGAAATCCACACTCGACTCCGAGTATATTTCCCCCCCCAAATCTGCTCTGGAGGGTTGAGGGAACCCCCTAAACTTGTAGGAGAACGGGAGGAAAGTTCTGCTGTGTGAACAGACTTTGTTCCGTACATGCACATCCCACTTAGCGCCAAGTTGAATTCCACCCTATATGTATAGCTTTTCAAAGGACTGTAGAGTTGGAAGGGAACCCGAGGGTCATCTAGTCCAACCCCCTGCAATGCAGGAATCATTTGCCCAGGTGGGTCTTGAACCCACAACCCTGATATCAACAATCTCGTGTTCTACAAACAGAGCTATCCCAAGGTGTGCAGGTCACCTGGTCCACAGGGCCCAGGTGAGCACGCCCTCCCTCACCTGTTCTTCCTCCGCCTCTCTTTGCCCCAGAAGGAGCTCCTCGGCCAGGGCCACCGCCTGGGAACAGGTCTCCGGGCCTCCTTCCTGAACCCTGCTCCGCATCTCCGGCGGCAGGACAGCCAGGAACTGCTCCAGAATCACCAGCTCCAGGATCTGCTCCTTGGTGTGCCTCTCCGGCTTCAGCCACCGGTGGCATAGGTACCAGAGGCGGCTGCAGACCTCATGAGGGCCCTCGGCCTCCTGGTAGCGGAACCGGCGGAAGCTCTGGCGCTGGGCCTCCGCACCGAGGGCAGCTGGGGAGTCAGCCCCTTGCTCTGCCATAATCTGCCTGCCGATGGAACGATGGGGAAGGAAGATTTTGCCGCCACCCCGCAGCACAGTCTGTGGGTCTCCCCAGTCCGACCCTGGGAACCGCGAGGCCTTCAGGAACGCCTGCCACTGGGCTTCCCAGTGCCGAGACAACACCCCCTGGGTCGGTTCCTGCTTCATCTGTTCCACGGTCCACCTCAGAAACTGCCCCATGGCGCCCGCTTGGCCTTCTTCCTCGCTCTCAGGGGTCAAGCCCATTTGAAGCCACCGCTCTAACGCAGCTGGGAACTGAAGGCAGGAGGCTGAGGGTTCCCCGACTCCTGCTAGAGCCATTTCCGCTTGCAGGGAGGATTCGAACGCAGCTCTTTCCCTCACTAGTGTGCGGTGGGGCAGAGGGCAGATGAGGAAGATGGGCCTGCCCTTGGCCTTCCACCAAGAGCTATTTTTCTAGAAAAAGAGGGGCCGGAGCTCACCGTGAACTTGGAAAGGGGTCACCCACATTCCAAGGCATGACTCTTGATCTCAGGGTCATGGGTTAGAGTTGGTTGGATTAGATGACCCTTGGGGTCATTCCAAACTCTACAATTCTATGAATTCTATGTGGGGGGGACGGGGACTCCTTTCTGATACAATTCAGAAAGAGGGGGTGCCTGCTACTCTCAGGAACTTCAGAAGCTGCCTTATACCGAGTCGGGCTACTGGCTTATTACTGTCAACTCTGACTGGCAGCAGCTGTCCAGAGTTTCAGGGCAGGGAGTCTCTCTCCCAGCCCTGGCGATTGAACATGGAATTTTCTGCATGCCAAGCAGCACATGCTCTACCCACTAGGCAGCACTTTCTGAACACGCACCTCATTCATTGCACCCTATGCACCAACCTCCTAGCAATGCAAAAAATAAATCTCAGCCAGGCAGCATTTTAGCTGCAAAGCCGGGCAAGGAAATGCATGGAAGGCTGTCCTCTGTCCCGCCCCTCTCCTCCCCTCACATTTTTTCTTGCCTCGCTAGGAATTGAGCCGCGGCTGTTGATTTAACCATTAACCGGCCATCTACCTCTATGTTGCCAGCACGGACTGGCAGCAGCTCCCTAGTTTTGCAGCCCTACCTAGAGATGCCGGGGATGCATGCAAAGCAGACGCTCTGCCACTGATCTATGCCCCTTGCTGCTCTCCTGCAGCGATAAAAACCATTGCAAAAATAGCTCGCTGCTTGGGAGGCTGCTGGTCCTAATGTAAATTGTTCTGTTAGCTTCTGGGTCCGGTCTTTGCCAACAAAGGGTTAAATCCACCGAGCTCCGTTTCTTAGAGCGGCCCAGGAAATTTGGATGGGGGAAGTAAACAATGAGGACAACTTCCTGGGTCTAAGCCCCGCCCTCCTCCTGGCATTAGACTCCTGCAGAAGACAGACAGGTGGGTGATTTAAGCCATAAACTGAAAGCTAGGATCATTCATAGTGGCGTGGTGGAAGGGAATTAATCAATGCAATGCAATGCAATGCAAAATAGGGAGGGGAAACCATTTAAAAATAGCAGCCGGGCTCAGATTCATTCTACCAGAGCCAACCTTTCTCCAGATCCTTTAGAAAAATGAAATGTGAGGATGCACATTTATTTTTTCTCGACAGGGGCTGCGGGCAGATGACCGGGGACACTCAAAATGGCACTTGTTCAAAAATCCCAGAGTGATCTGAGAGTGATTTCAATACTGCACTTGAAAAATTAGCGCAAATTAAAACAAGGCAATTTTGAATAAATTAGAGTACACTGTGCTATCATTAAAGGCAAAAATGAAAAATAAAAAGTCCCAGAGTGGCCACAGATCTAAAAATGTCAGTAACCTCTACTGCGTAGGAGGCAAATGATAATAATTATTATAATAATTTGTTATTTATACCCTGCACATCTGGCTGAGTTTCCCCAGCCACTCTGGGGGCTTCCAGTCAAGTGTTAAAAGCAATACAGCATTAAATATTAAAACTTCCCTAAACAGGGCTGCCTTCAGATGTCTTTTAAAGATAAGATAGCTGCTTATTTCCTTCACATCCGGTGGGAGGGTGTTCCACAGGGCGGGTGCCACTACCGAGAAGGCCCTCTGTCTGGTTCCCTGTAACCTCACCTCGCAATGAGGGAACCGCCAGAAGGCCCTCGGCGCTGGATCTCAGTGTCTGGGCTGAACGATGGGGGTGGAGAAGCTCCTTCAGGTATACAGGACCGAGGCTGTTTAGGGCTTTAAAGGTCAGCACCAATGGTTTGTATTGTGCTCGGAAACGTACTGGAAGCCAATGCAGATCTCTCAGGACCGGTGTTATATAGTCCCGGTGGCCACTCCCAGTCACCAGTCTAGCTGCCGCATTCTGGATTAGTTGCAGTTTCCAGCTCACCTTCAAAGGTAGCCCCACGTAGAGCGCGTTGCAGTAGTCCAAACTAGAGCATGCACCACTCTGGTGAGACAGTCCACAGGCAGGGAGGGTCTCAGCCTGCGTACCAGGTGGAGCTGGTAAACAGCCGCCCTGGACACAGAATTAACCTGCACCTCCATGGACTGCTGTGAGTCCAAAATGACTCCCAAACAATTCATCAGGAAACTTCTTACTGATCTGTAATCTATTTTATTTCTCTCCGACTTGAGCAGGGGAAATGGCCATGGAGGAACGGAGAACGCGGCTCGTCTGCCCAAGTTTCAAGGTCCCAGGAATCAAAATGGAGAAGCTGGACTCGGCAGGCCCTGGCCAACGAGAGGGAGCAGGAGGAATCCCTCACGCCATTGAGGCCAAGAGTCTGAAGGAGTTCCTTTGGTGGGCTGCTCCTCAGCAGATGAAGCGGGAGCCAGTTTGCTGGGATGCCCAGTGGCAGGACTTCCTGAAGGCTGTGCAGTTCCCTCACTCTGGACAGAGGGATCCACAGCTGGGGGAATCCACCCTGCAGGCGGACAACGGCAAGGCGTTGGTGTGCACTGCTGGGCGCAGCCCATGGCTTCTGGAGGAGAGAGGGAGGTTGGCTCTTGCCAAGGCCCAGCAGAAAAGCCCATCCAGGCCTGCGTTCAAATGGCATCCAGTGGCCAACGGGACGAGGGGAATTTGCCAGGACAGAGGCCAACCGCCAGCGGTTCAGGCGCTTCCTCTATGAGGAGGCCACGGGGCCGCAGGAGGCATGCGGGCGACTCTGGCAGCTGTGCCGTCTGTGGCTGGAGCCAGAGAGACGGTCCAAGGAGCAGGTCCTGGAGCTGGTGGTCCTGGAGCAGTTTCTGAGCATCCTCCCCCAGGAGATGCAGGGCTGGGTCCGCAGAGAGGAACCAGTGAGCAGCTCCCAAGCGGCAGGCCTGGCGGAGGATTTCCTGAGGAGGCAGCTCAACGCTGAGAGGCTGGAGCGACAGGTGAGGAGCCAGAGTATAAGCTTAATGTCCTGTTTCTTCTTTCTTTCTCTCTTTTTAATTTTTTTAAAAAATTTATTAGATGTTACAAAAAAAGGAAAAGAAAAAAAGGAAATAGAAAAACATAAAAACATACATAATTTTCCAGAATGCAGACTAGAAAAGAAGAAAGACGAAAAATAAAAGAAAGAAAGCAAGAAAAGAAAAAAAGAATGAAGAGAAAAAATACTTTTCATAATAATTCCAAATTCATACTTCAAACATGACAATATATAAATCCTAGTTAAAATATTATAAAAGACTTCCACCACATTCACCACATGGCTCTTGGTTATCTAATTCACCTTTACATCTGTTTCTTCTTTCTTCGGTATGTTGTATCTAATCGTTTGACAATTGTGAACAGTAATCAGCAAAAGTGTTCCAGAAAAGAGGTTCGTAATATTCTGCCAGAAAACATCGCTTAGTGTAAAATGACAGTATTTCTTCTTTTAAAACCCCCTCAAAACTTACTTGAATTTGCTTTGCAGGAGGGATTGCAGAACACAGTCATTGCGGCTAGTGGCCACTGATAGCTTTCTTTTTTTTAAAAAAAAAGATATTTATTAGAATTTTACAAAATGAAAAAATACAAAATAAAAATACAAAATAAAAATAGTTTTAAAAAAAACAATTCCATCTTTCCATCACTTATCTTTCATTTGCTTGTTTCCCGGACCTCCTTACACCTCCCTTTTTGTATTCCCGTTCAATTTGTTAGTTCAGCAAATCCTTCCCTCTTTGTCTATCCTAATCTTTAATCTTAAAATAATGTAACATTAAATTTTTGTCTGTTAATAGTCCATTTTTTCATACTCCTTATAGCGTTATAGCTAAAAACCACATAACTTTTCATCCAACATCATTCTAACATTCATTAATTTTACAATATTTCTGTAGGTAGTCTTTAAATTTCTTCCAGTCTTCTTCCACCGACTCTTCTCCCTGGTCTCGGATTCTGCCGGTCATTTCTGCCAGTTCCATGTAGTCCATCACCTTCATCTGCCATCACTGATAGCTTTCTCCTCCATGAATCTGTCTAATCCTTTTTAAAGTCATCCCAGTTGGTGACTATTAATGTCTCCTGTGAGATTGAGTTCCGTAGCTTAAAGCAAATTGCTCTGCAAATAAGCACCGTGAAGATTGCACAGCCTGTCTTGCTGTTTACCCCCAACACCCATGGGAAAGAAAGTATGCTCTAGTTATCTCCCGCTTGGACTACTGCAATGGGCTCTACATGGGGCTACCTTTGAAGGTGACCCAGAAACGACAACTAATCCAGAATGCGGCAGCTAGACTGGTGACTGGGAGCAGCCGCTGAGACCATATAACACTGCTCCTAAAAGATCTATATTGGCTCCCAATATATTTCCAAGCACAATTCAAAGTGTTGGTGCTGATCTTTAAAGCCCTAAATGGCCTCGGTCCAAGCAGAGGGCCTTCTCAGTATGTTTTAAAGCAGGGTTGTAATTTTTTCTTGATTTTGCTGCTTTATCTTTTGTAAGCGGCATATGGATTTTATGAACTAAATAAGCAAAAGAGACCCTCTCTGCTTTTTCAGAAACTGGAGCCCTACAAGGAAGTCGTGGTGGACTTCCCCAAGAAAGAGGAGGTCCCGCCGTGCCTTGAGCAAAGAGGACGCCTCTTCAGGGAAGCCACGCAGGAGTATATCGAGGGCAGCATGCAACAAGGTCAGGCACTATTATTATTAATAATTTTATTTGCGCCCAACCCATCTGACTGCGTTGCCCCAGCCTATCTGGCTAGTTTCCACCATATACGGAAACATAATTAAACATCATACATTAAAAACTTCCCTACAGATGTTTTCTAATCTCCTTGACATCTGATGGGAGGGTTTTCCACAGGATGGGCGCCACCACCAAGAAGGCCCTCTGCCTGGTTCCCTGCAACCTCACTTCTTGCAGGGAGGGAACTGCCAGAAGGCCCTTGGAGCTGGACCTCAGTGTGGGTTGAACGATGAGGGTGGAGACGCTCCTTCAGGTATACTGGGCCGAGGTCGTTTAGTGCTTTAAAGGTCAGGACCAACGGTTCGAATTGTTATCACATGGTGCTGATAACCCCAAGTTTGGGAGTTCGATACCTATATGGGCCACCTGTGCGGTTGGAGGTGCCCTGCTCTGCTTTAAACAGTAGCACAGGGTCTAACAGCACCTCTATAATATTGTTATAGATTTGTAACCATATGGACCTGGCATTTCATGGCAAATTTAGCTTGTCCAAAACAGGCAGAGCACCACCTTCCAGTCTAGACAAACCAAACACCTCTGTCTTACACAGGAACATAGGAAGCTTCCTTATACTGAGTCAAATCATTGGTCCACCAAGCTTAGTACTGTATACACTGACTGGCAGCAGCTGGGGGGTGAGATTCCAGTAGGGGACTTTCCCAGCCCTAACTGGAGATTCTGAGTATTGAATCTGGGACCTTCTTTCACTGAGCTATGGTCCTACAGACTGTAACTGTGCCCCTGATGGACCAGGTGCGCAGCCTAGGAGTCATTTTGGACTCAGAGCTGTCCGTGGAGGTGCAGGTCAATCCTGTGTCCAGGGCAGCTGTCTACCAGCTCCACCTGGTACGCAGGCTGAGACCCTACCTGCCCGCAGACTGTCTCGCCAGAGTGGTCCATGCTCAGGTTATCTACCGCTTGGACTACTGCAATGCGCTCTATGTGGGGCTACCTTTGAAGGTGACCTGGAAACTACAACTAATCCAGAATGCGGCTGCCAGACTGGTGACTGGGAGTGGCTGCCGAGACCATATAACATCGGTCCTGAAAGACCTACATTGGCTCCCAGTACATTTCTGAGCACAATTCAAAGTGTTGGTGCTGACCTTTACATTCTTCTTCTTCTTCTTCTTCTTCTTCTTCTTCTTCTTATTCTTATTATTATTATTATTATTATTATCATCGTCATCATCATCACTAGGCTGAGTTTCAGTTTGTTTACTCCTGTCCAGTCTGTTACTTATTTCACCCTTTAAAAAATATGTTGCAGGTGTTGACCCCGAAGAAAAGCCAGAGAAGAATTGTGCAGAAAAGCCCAGGCAACCCCAACCCATTGAGAGCTCTTTGTGGGAAGCCGAAATCAACGCTGTGCAGATCCAGAGCCACGCGGGGGAATTCCTCGAAAGCAGAGGGAGAACCCGCGCAGGAGAGAAGCCGTACAAGTGCCCGGAGTGCGGGAAAAGCTTTCTGTACGGCTCAGATCTCATCAAGCATGAGAGGACACACACCGGGGAGAAGCCGTTCGCCTGCACAGACTGCGGGAAACGCTTCAATCAGAGCTCGCACCTCATCTCCCACGAAAGGGTCCACACGGGAGAGAAGCCCTACAAGTGTCTGGCGTGCGGGAAGAGCTTCGGTTGGCGGTCGGACCTTGTAAGACATCAGAGAATCCACACAGGGGAGAAACCCTACATTTGCCCGGATTGTGGGAGGAGCTTTAGCGCCAGCTCAGACCTTACTAGGCATCAGAAAACCCACACAGGAGACAAATCCTACAAATGCGTGGCCTGCGGGAGAACGTTTAGCGGGCGATTGCAGGTTGCTAGTCACCAGAGACTCTGCACCGGGGGGAATTGCTGAAACCAGGAAAATGCCCATAGAAAAGGGCATTCTTGCGACTAGACAGTGAGCAGTCTTTTTTGCATGACAAGCGGGGTATATTTCTTCAAGGAGGGGTCCACAGTAGTCTGTGGTTTGCTCTGTTTCCTAGCAAAATTTTGTACGTTGAATCAAGATTTCTGGTGTGCTTAATAAAGATGACTTTTTAAAAAAAGCTTTCTTTGCTGAAGTTTTCAACAGAACGATAACTTTCCACTGAAATCTTGGAACCCGTTGAAAGGACCTCTTTTAGAAGAGGGCAGGAACTTGAAACATCACCCACACAATGCTTTGTAATGTGTAAATTAAAGCTCAGTTGCTGCCATTTGTAGACTAATTTGTAGACACAGGTCCTGAAAGACCTACATTGGCTCCCAGAATGTTTCCAAGCACAATTCAAAGTGTTGATGCTGACCTTGAAAGCCCTCAACGGCCTCGGCCCTGTATACCTGAAGGAGCGTCTCCACACCCATCATTCAGCATGGACATGAGTCTGACCAAACTGCAGGAGGCAGTGGAAGACAGGAGTGCTTGGTGTGCCTCTGGTCTACAGGGTCACAAAGAGTAGGACATGACTAAACGACTAAACAACAACAAATAAATTCATAATAATAGTAATACAGTGGTACCTCGGGTTAAGTACTTAATTCATTCCGGAGGTCCATTCTTAACCTGAAAATGTTCTTAACCTGAAGCACCAATTTAGCTAATGGGGCCTCCCGCTGCCGCCGCCGCATGATTTCTGTTCTCACCCTGAAGCAAAGTTCTTAACCTGAGGTAATATTTCTGGGTTAGCAGAGTCTGTAACCTGAAGTGTATGTAACCCAAGGTACCACTGTAATGATAATAAATAAATAAATAAATATGCAAATAAACAAACAAAAATAAAATAAAAACAATTTCCAGAGGGGTGTCAGGTTCTCTCTCGCAGCAAATTCAGAATATTGTGGCATCTATTTCCCCCTGGCACAAGCTCTCAGTCCCACTATCCTCACTTGTCCTGAATAAAAGCTCATGCTATAATAAATGATCCTCCGACTGTTCAGTTCCACAAGACTCTAGAAACAAATACATAAGTAAGCTTGAAAAAGGAAACAGAAACAACCACGAGGAGAGAAAAAAAGGCGATTTGCTGCTTTGCAAACAGAGATGCGAGAAAAAAAGCGGGCAACTTGCAATCAGCGTCCCCAAAATCCCACCCTAAAAAAGCCCAGCTGGTAGAGGACTCTGCAGATTCCATGGTCTCAGCAGAGGCCTAGAGTGGCCCAAAACCATAAAGGTCATAGAGTTGGGGAGTAAGGGTTGCTCACGTTTCCGGTTTCCGGTTTCCCGCCGGGTCAGAGCGTTGAGATCCGTTTCCGGGAGCGATATCGCCAGTTGCAGAGCGCGCGGGAAGAGCGGTTGCGACCAGGTAGGTGAGTTGCAGAGAGGATAGTTCCGTAATAACAATAATATTAATTAATAACAGCAATAAAAATAAGAATTTCTGGTAATAATAAGGATAAGAGAGAGGTGAGCAGAATTCAACGGGGCTGGCTCCCTAGAGAGGCTGCTTAGGATTGCTGCCACGTGTTTACCCAGAAGTAAGGCCCCGTGGGATTCAATGGGGATCCTTCCCAAGTAAGGGTTGCAGGTTATAATCCTGTACCCGCTTCTCTGGGAATAAGCCCCCATTGAACTTTGTGGGGCTCGCCTCTGAGCGGACATGGAGAGAATTGGGCTCGAAATTTAGAAACGGGGGGGTGTTTACCCCCCGCCATATCGACTGGGGAGATCGCCTCTATTCCTAAACTGATCCTAAAAGGATTCCCCTTTTTGGTTTCCTAAATCGATTGGGTCTAGATTTGGGATGTCGTGTTTTCCATTTCCCAAAGGAGCTGGGAAGCGTCCCACGTTAATGTTAGCTTGTATCCTGGCATGTAGATTTTTTAAGTCTCTTCTCTCTGTGACTTTTAACTTATTTTAAACGGTTTTTTCCCATTCTGTTTTAATTGGTGTAACCTGTCCTGTGGCCTTGGTGTGGAGGGCAGGTAATAATAAATCATAGTAAGTCCTACTCAGGGTGGGCCCATTAAGTTAGTCATGTCTATTAACTTGCCTATCTGGAGGGTGTTCAGTTGGTGGGGGGCTGTTCTAAAAGCACATACCCCCTCCCAAAAAAAAAGATTCCTTGGCAGATTCCTGTATCTACAGTTCAGTGTTTACTTGGCAGTTTTTATTTTTATTATTTTTATCATTATTGATTGAATTAAACTTGTTGAGTTCAGTGGGGCTATTTGTTTAGAATTTTCAGTCCCTGCAAAAGCAAACATTTAGTCTCCACTAAATTACTTGCCTATGATACTCAAACACGAAAATATTTAAACATATTATTATTTTCTTTTTTATATAAGAATATATAATAGATAAAAATGTAAAATTCAATAAAAAATATTTTTTAAAGACAACAAAGTTTAGTTGAAACTTTAGTTTTACCCAAATAGCAAGTTCTAACTGCCATGCTGAGTTGTGGATCTGCTGTTTACAAATAAATACAGTGCACCCTCTGGATACGAACTTAATTCGCCCCAGGGGTCCATACTTTGCCTGAAAAGTCCGTATCCAGAGGCACCGCTTCTGCACATATGTGCGGCACGATAGAGCACTTCTGCGAAGTGCGCAGAGTATGTTTACAGATGCGCGCGCAGTGAAACCCGGAAGTGTTTGCCGCGTTTGCAACCTGAAATTACGTTACCCGAAGGTAACGTAACCGGAGGTACCATTGTACAGTCATATCTCGGGTTACAGACGTTTCAGGTTGCATTTCTTCAGGTTACGGACCGCCAAAACCCGGAAGTACCAGAAGTGGTTAATTCCGGGTTTCAGCAGTCGCAGAAGCGCTAAATCGCGCTTTGCACATGTGCAGAAGCGCCGAATCGTAACCTGTGCGTGCGCAGATGCGGGTTGCAAACGTGCATCCCACACGGATCACGTTCGCAACTCGAGCGTCCACTGTACATCTACTGGGGGAAATTGTTTAAACGTTTAATAAAAACAAAAAATCTCGAGTGAGAACCACTGTAACCTTTGTTTGAGGAGCCATTTGGCACCCAGCTTACCTGTATATTTCTGAGTTTCTGACACTGGTGTTGCCCTCCCTGTGGCATCTGAAACGCCACTCTGGGATTCGAGACTTGGTGGATGGATCTCATTGGTGCTATTGTGTTTATTTTCTTAGATCCAATGATGGTTGAACAAGAGGGCGCGGATTGCAAGCCGATGATGGATGATGGAGGAGGAAGCCAGTCTTTTGAAGCAATGTGTTCCCTCGGAAGCTCGGGAGATTGGCTTAATGTGAAGGAGGAACCTCAAGAGAATTCAACCCAGCTATGGGAAACACAGTGGCAACAGTACTTGAATACAGTGGAGCTTCCTCTCTCGGGAGCCCCGCAGGAACCCACCCCATGGGACGATGCTCCGACCTTCCTGGCCTCCTTCGAGCAAGTGGCTGAAGCCTACCGGTGGCCCAAGGAAGAGTGGGCAGCCCGGCTCCTGCCTGCGCTGGGTGGCGAAGCCGAGCAGGCCTTTAAAAGCCTGGAGGGCCCAGACAGAGAGGATTATGGGAAGGTAAAGGCCGCCATTTTGCAAGGAGACACCATGAGCAGAGAGAAGCACCGCCAGCACTTCCGGTGTTTCAGCTACCAGGAGGCCGAAGGGCCCAGAGGGGCCTATACTCGGCTGCAGGAGCTTTGCTACCGGTGGCTGAAAGTCGAGAGGCACTCCAAGGAGGAGATTCTGGAGCTGCTGATCCTGGAGCAGTTCCTGGCTGTCCTGCCGCCAGAGATGCAGAGCTGGATGAAGGAGCACTCCCTCGAGAGCAGCACCCATGCCGTGTCCCTGGCCGAGGATTTCCTCATCAGGCACCTGGTGCCCGAGAGAAGAGAAGAGCAGGTAAGAGAGAGCTGAATCAAGGACAAAATCGGTCTCTGCCTTTATCACAGGCCTTAACTTACAAGTACAGTGGTACCCCGCAAGACGAACGCCTCGCAAGACGGAATACCCGCTAGACGAAAGGGTTTTCCGTTTTGGAGGCGCTTCGCAAAACGAATTTCCCTATGGGCTTGCTTCGCAAGACGACAGCCCATAGGGAAATCTCCGGGACAGCGGGGAAGCGCAGCGCGTCTTCCCCACTGTCCTCGGACCTCCTTCCCCCCGCCCGGCATCGGAACGAAGCTCCGATGCCAGGCGGGGGGGCGCCTCCTCCCCCCGCCCGGCATCGGAACGAAGCTCCGATGCCGGGCGGGGGGGGAACGCCTCCTCCCGCCGCCCAGCTTCGGATGGCTTTCCTGAAGACTTGGGGTGGGAGGAGGGTTTTCCTTCCCACCGCCAACATTCAGAATGCTGTTCTGAATGTTGGCGGTGCGGAGGAAAAACCCTCCTCCCACGCAAGCCCCGGGAACAGAGGGAAAGCGCTGCGCGCCTTCCCCTCTGTTCCCGTACCTGTCCTGAAGGCTTGCGGTGGGGAGAAAAGTGCTGTACAAAAGTGCTGTGCATTCCCAGACCACCACCACCCCAACTTCTGAGGGTGGTGGAGAGACCAAGAGGGCCTTCTCTCCTTATCTTGACACCCAGGAAGGTCTGTAGGAAAAGTGGTGGTCTTTCAAATATTTGAGACCCGAGTTACTTCTAAGTACTATGGAAATTGTCTACAGTGGTGCCTTGCAAGACGAAATTAATTGGTTCCGCAAGTTTTTTCGTCTTGCGAATTTTTTGTCTTGCAAAGCACAGTTTCCCATAGGAATGCATTGAAAATCAAAAAAGGCTACCACACCTCAAAAACCTCAAAAAAGGCTACCACACCGCGTGCTATGAGTTGCTCCTCGAAGTCAAGTCGCAACTGCACCTCTCCAAGCAATGCACCCTGGGTATTAACGGTTTTAAGAAAAAGGAAACAAACTTGCAAGACGTTTTCGTCTTGCAAAGACGTTTTCGTCTTGCAAAGCGAGGTACCACTGTAACTTAAATAAATCTGCTAAATTGAACCCACAGGGCAGCAGATTTTTTCCTGGCAAATCCACATCACTGGAGGTGACTTTTTAAAAATCTCATACATTTTTACCCCAATTTCCACAAATGTTTATACCCTGCGGCCTGCACTTCCTTCCAGAAGAGCTCAGGGTAGCAAACACAGCAGTGTTAAAGCAGTAATAGTAAAATACCTGTTTAAAACATCTAAAAACAGCAACACACACAAGATGGAACCAAATCTCACGTCAGCCTGCTAAAACAGAAAAGTCATGTAGATTTTCCAGAAAACTTCCGCTGGATTCCCCAGGAAAAAATCCTAAATTGGTGATTTAGCAGGTTTATTTAAGCAACTTTTACATTTCAGTTTCCTCCACTGAAAATGAACCATGTTACATTTCCATACTGTGCAAATATCTCTAATAGGTACTAAATGATCGAAGGGAATGGTTGTGTTAAGACACGACCCCCCCGCCTGATGGGTTTTGCATTTTTCTTTTAGGTGGCTGCGCTCCCAGAGGAAGGATCTGTGAATCTTCAGGAGACAGAGAGTGAATCATGGGAGGATGACACTGACATTGGTAAGAATTCCTTCAACCAGAGTTTCTTTCTGCAAGCGTTTGGGCTTTTCCCCACAAGGCTGTGGATACTTCCCTCTTTGTATGTGGCTGTTTTGGCCGCAAAGGAATGGCAAGCTCAGCCTGATCGTTAGAAATACAGTGGTGCCTCGCAAGACGAAAATAATCCGTTCCGGGAGTCTCTTCGTCTAGCGGTTTTTTCGTCTTGCGAAGCGGCTTAGCGGCTATTAAAGGCTTAGCGGCTAAAAGGCTATTAGTGGCTTAGAAAAAGGGGGGGGGCGAAAAAAAACACAAGATGTTTCCGTCTTGCGAAGCAAGCCCATAGGGAAAATCGTCTTGCGAAGCGCATCGAAAAACGGAAAAGCCTTTCGTCTAGCGGGTTTTTCGTCTTGCGGGGCACCACTGTAGAAGGAAATGGTTACAGAGGTTAGCAGGCACAACTTGGGTAATGCTCTCCACCAGCCAACAAAATCAAACTAAGTTGGGTAAGAATCTTTTTTAAAAAAATCTGAAACACTTCTAAATATCTTAAGTAGATGAAATACAGTTTTGATCCAGTGTAAAGATACATTCAAAACAGATAAAATTGCAAAGTGTCATGCATAAAAATAAAAGAATAGGATTTTTAAAATTTAAATCGGATTTTTAAAATAAAATGCTTTTGGAGGAAACATCTTTCTAAAGATAGTTTTCTATTTAAGTTACATTATAGTCCAAAGGCTATTCTTCAGGAAATAAGGTTTTTTTTAAAAATTTTCATGTGTGCTAAAACTCAGTCTTAAGGTTTTGTTTTTTAAAAAATGTTTAACCACATCAGTTAACAAACATGGATACATATGCTATAATGTTATTGCTATAGTTAAATAAATTGTTTAAATTGTTATTAAGGAAATGATTGTTTTTCTCCTTCCAGTAAAGCACAGCAGAAAAGTTGTCCAAATATAAACAGTTACCTTATTAAACCTCAATATAATTTCATAATTATCTGTCTATGTATTTCTAATAGTATAACCAAATCTGTAATTTTTGATATAACTGTAGAAACTACTCTGAAAATTTATTATTCCAAAAGTGAAACCTTCATCTGGTTGTAATATTAATTATACCAGCAAATGAGTCTTTCTGTAAAAAAAGAGAAGGGAAAAAAAGATTTACATTAAGTCTTACTGACTAATGATTTAAATCAAATCCACCCTGTTGCAAAGAAAGTACAATAACAATCTGACCTTTCTATGCAGATCAAAGCTTGAAGAAAATCCCTTATAGAATCAAAACATAACCGTGAAATTTGTCAAAGGCCAATAGTCAAAATACAGTGGTATCTCTGGTTGCGAACGGGATCTGTTCTGGAGGCCCGTTCGCAACATGAGCAGAACGCAACCTGCGCTGTTCGCGTTTCGCCGCTTCTGCGCATGCGCGTGATGTCATTTTGAGCGTCTGCGCATGTGCGAGTGGCAAAACCCGGAAGTAACCCTTTCCGGTACTTCCAGGTGGCCACAGAACGTAACCTGAAAAGATTTAACCTGAAGCAAACGTAACAAGAGGTATGACTGTAGATAAAACTACAAAGATGAGAGTTAGTAATTTACTACCTACATCGGCTCCCAGTACGTTTCCGAGCACAATTCAAAGTGTTGGTGCTGACCTTTAAAGCCCTAAACAGGCCTCGGTCCAGTATATCTGAAGGAGCGTCTCCACCCCCATCGTTCTACTGGGACACTGAGATCCAGCACCGAGGGCCTTCTCGGTAGTGGTGCCCTCCCTGTGGAATGCCCTCCCACCAGATGTCATTGAGAAAAACAACTACCAGACTTTTAGAAGACATCTGAAGGCAGCCCTGTTTAGGGAAGCTTTAATGTTTGATGTATTGCAGTGTTTTAATATTTTTTTTTTGGAAGCCGCCCAGAGTGGCTGGGGAAGCCCAGCCAGATGGGCGGGGTATAAATAATAATTTATTATTATTATTATTATTATTATTATTATTATTATTATTGTTTCTGGCAAGACTTAGGTAGACAGAAAACGTGCCCTTCATCATTCTCTTGGTCCATGTAAACGCTTAACAGGAGAACTCTTTGTCATTTCAACAGATCTTGGGTCAGCGCAGGAAGATGGAAGCGAGAATTATCTGCCTGAAGAGAATGGGCAAGAGAACCATCCACCTGAGATGGGGCCATGGGGTGTGTCGGCAGAGAAAGCAAAGGACAACAGTCCCCAGTATTGGAAGGAGGGAGACATCTTGGAGAATAGTCACAGAGCGGAACGGCAGCAGGTGATCTACCTGAGGAAAGATGGGCAAAGATCTGTTCTTTGTGAGAAGGTTGGCAGGGAAGCAAGTATAACTGTGATCTACCAGGGAACCATCAATGGCAAGCGAAGTGGGAAGGCCTCGCGCACTCGGGGAAAACTGCACAAATGTTCCCACTGTGAGAAAACCTTTAGTTGCCCAACGCACCTGAGAAAACACCTGATGCTGCATTCGGCTGAGAAGCCCCTTAAAAATCTTGGAAGAGACCACACTGGAGAGGAACCCTATAAATGCACAGATTGCGGAGAGAGTTTCTCACAGAGCTCATCTCTTGACAGCCACAGAAAGGAGGTGCATCAGGAAATGAAATCTGCCACCCTGCGGAAAAATGTATTTGGTGGGCAGAAGGGATACCACATATGCCCCGAGTGCGGGAAAACATTCTTCAAGCCGTCACAGCTGAAAATACATAAACGTCTCCACACTGGAGAGAAACCCTATCGGTGTATGGATTGCGGAGAGTGTTTCATGTGGCAGTCAGGTTATATTCGCCATGGGAAGGTGTGTCGCCAGCGAAAGAAATTGACCCTCCCCCTGCCAAAAGAATCTAGTGGACAAGGGAGATCCTACCCGTGCCCTGAGAGTGCGAAAACGTTTGACAGGCCATCGCGCCTAATAAGACACCAAGTTGTTCACACTGGAGAGAAACCTTATAAATATAAAAGTGCTGATTGTGGGGTGTGCTTCACCCAAAGCCCATCTCTTGACTGTCATAGAAAACGGATTCACCAGGGAAAGAGACTGGTCCCTCTTCTGAAAAAACTACCCAGCACGCGGCCCTCCCGATGCTGTGAGTGTGGAAGAAGGTTCAGCAAGGCTTCGCACCTCATAAGACATTGCCTCCGCACTGGAGAGGGGATCTACAAATGCGCTGACTGTGGGGAGTGTTTCTCACGGAGCTCCTGTCTTGCCAGTCACAGAAAGGAGATGCATCAGGAAATGAAATCTTCCCCCCTCCAGAACAACGTATCTGTTGGGCAGGAGAAAGGTCACCCATGCCCGGAGTGCGGGAAAATATGCTCCCACTCATCAGTGCTAAAAGCACATCAACGGATTCACACTGGAGAGAAACCCTATCGGTGTACCGATTGCGGGGAGCGTTTCATGTGGGGTTCGTCTCTTTCCCGTCATAGGCAGAAGGCTCACCAGGGACAGAAAGTGGTCCCCCTTTCGCACAAAGTATCCAGCGGACAAAGGAAATCATGCCCGTGTCCCGAGTGTGGGCTAGAGTGCAGGTGGATATCGCAGCTAATAAGACATCAGCGCACCCACACTGGAGAGAAACCCTTCAAGTGCCCCGATTGTGGAAAGTGTTTCAGATGGAATTCGTATCTTGCTTGGCATAGGAGAAACTGTCATGGGGGAATGAAATTGGTCCCCGATGTGCAAGGGGGGACCTCCCCACAACCTGAGCATGGGCAAACATTCAGCGAGACGTCCCACCTAATGAGACGTCAAGAGATCCACACCGAGAAGAGCCGCCACAGCTGCGCCGACTGCGGGAAAAGTTTTGGTCGAGCGTCGCACCTCATGAGACACCAGAGAATCCACACAGAGAAGCAGCACAAATGCTCCGACTGCGGGAAATGTTTTGGTCAAGAGTTGCACCTCGCAAGTCACCAGAGAATCCACACAGGAGAGAAGAGGCACAAATGCCCCGACTGCGGGAAAGGTTTTGATCGAGTGTCACGCCTCGAAAGACACCAGAAAATCTGGATGGGAAAGAAGTTTTACAAATGCTCCGAATGTGAGGAGAGTTTTTTTTGCAGGGCCAGCCTTGCGAAACACAAGACGTCTCACTCTGAATTGTAGGCCTTCGAGAGTGAGTCTGAGCAACTTAACAGGGGGGATCACCACAGAAAAGGCCTCCCCCCCCCATTGCTGACTTCCAAATTTCCTGGCTCATTTCGATTTGTTTAGTTTAATCAGACAAAATGCCAACTTGTTTACTAGCCTATTGGTAAAAAGACTGTAATATAGTTCCAAAATGTATTCATTTAGACCTGGTAGGTTTTATTAAGGACAGGTCGGTTTCTGACCCAATCCACAAACGTTGAATTTAGTCTGTTACATAAAGTAACATAAAATTCCTTCTCTCTTTAGAGTAAGCTTTTGATAACAAATTTGTAACTTTCAAAGCATCAAAATACGAGAGGGAAATTCTTAGGTGTGGTGCCTTGATTATATGCTAACAATGTGGTTAAGCAAATTATTGAAAAATCAGCAATGTTTTGGACTTTCCAGAGAACAACAAAAAAGTAACTCATTTGACACCACTTTCAGTAAACAACAGTGTCATAGGAGTGCTTATCCCTAAAAACGTCTCAAAATGATTTTTTAAATCCTTTTTTAATAAATGTTAAGTAATGTTGGGAGTGGTGGTGGGAATTTTTTTTCAGTATGGCACGGCTAGGAAGAGTAGCTGCCATAAAATTGTTAGACCCAAATTCATATCAATTTAAAGTTCTGCTCACTGAAATTCCGAAAGCTAAACTTGTGGCAGAATTTTTTCAATTTATTTATATGGGGGGTGGGGGGGAGGGAATCAAGATTTACAGCCAAAGTTATCTACAGCATTTGTAAGGCCTTTCAGAATTATCAGTTGCGGTGATGACGACAAAAAACAATGGATTGAAATGGAAAAACAACTAAATACCTTTAAACAAAATTAGAGCAAATTCATTTATCTCCACTAGAGAATTTACGGCCCTTTCCTAAAATGTACCTTTAAATTTTGGATTGAAAAACTGAATGTGTGGACACTTAATTCATCCCAGGCATTTATCATCCTCTCTTTTTATAGCTCTTTTAATTGTCATCAATTTGTCAGTTGGGAAAGGAACTATACCTACCAGAATAAATACCTTCATAATGGAGTTCAATTAAAATCTGGCCAACAATTAAAAAAAGAAAATATCAGGCACTCCTGGTATAATATACACCAAATTCTCCATTTTGAGGAACCCCCCCCCCCCGCTAATATGGAAATTAATGAATATGGAAATACTAATTACACAGTGTAAGAATCCAGTTTCCTAAGGGACCTAGTTTCCAATACTTACATAGGCTACCAAACTGTTAGAGTAGAAAAAACTTTTAGATCCAAAAACTCACACCCCGTTTTCATATACAACTTTGTTAAAGAAAAGAGAGAGGGAAGGAGGAAGCCAAATAATTAGCTCACATGCACAGCGCAATAAACATCAGTGCATCCATCTTAATTTACACATACATTGATAATACGTGCTCTAAATGTTCAAATCAGTCACCAAACGAGGTTGGCGTACATAGAGTTAGTGTTTCTGTGACTTTGATTGGAGTTAACCTGCTTTGCAGCCACTGCATATGTTTCCCCCAGTAGAATTTATTCTTTGTAAAATGCATTTTCTGACGCACTCTTTATTTGTCTGTTCTGCTCCTTAAGTTGCTGATCTCCTACTTTACAAGCTTCCAATAAATATTGAGAAACAATAGCAACTCTGTCTGGTGTTTTGTTAGGATCCAATTACTCCCCCAGCAATTTAGTATTACCGTTAAATGTTTTCATCTCCAACTTTCTCCCCGTGTGGAATTCAAGGCAGCTTCCGACGTTTAAAAGCATTATAAAATGCAATAATGTAATAAAAGCAAACTGGTTAAGAACAGAAGCTGAAATCCAGCAGAACACATTTAGAACCTGCAATTTAAAATATGGTTTGCCCTGATAGTAGCCCGGATCTTTTGCCCAGCGTGTGACTCAAACCCATGACCCTGAGATTCTTATGCTCTACTGTCTGAGATGGGAAGGGGCTCACTGTCTTAGTGCATGAGCAGGTTCATATAGGGAGATACGATCTCTCAGGTAGCCTGGGACCATAAGTAGTCACATACAGGTATTGTAATTGAGAATATTGCCATTGGGCGCCCATTGGTAAATAGCATCTTGCCCTCAATAAAGGCTATTTGTAAAAAAATTCTCCCTCTTCCCATCAGCTGATCCTGTGTACAAAATCCCACATGCGAACCACATCTTCAAATCAGGGTGACCCCATAAAGTCAATTTCGCAGGAGCACATTATGCTTGTTGTGATCAAAAGCTTTGTTAACTGAACCCCTGCATTTTGTAGGGCTGCCTCAAACTGGTGATACATCCAACAGGGGTTCATAGTTAACACCCAGAAATCCCAACAGGACCCCAAATTTCAGGGTTCACAGTTAATGAAGCTGTGAAATAAGTGGCCTAGCTGCTTTCTCTCTTTGACATGTCTAGAACCCAGAGCCACCTCTGCAGATGTGTGATATACGAGGTGGACAATTATCCCAAATAAACTTCCGAAATAATGCAGTAATGTGGGTTCTCCTCGCCTTCATTTCCCACCCGACTCTTATTCAAAGGCACATACTGCCTCTGACTGGACAGCTTTATCCTTCATCAATCTGTCTAATCCTCTTACATCAGTGGCCTTTGCTGCTCTCTGTGGCAGCAAGATTCAAAGTTTTAACACTGCTGTGTAAAGTACTTCCTTTTGTCCTAAATCCCAAACGTAACCTTCCACACATGTCAAAACAAAAAAATTTTCTTTCCAGTAGCACCTTAAAGACCAACTAAGTTAGTTCTTGGTATGAGCTTTCGTGTGCATGCACACTTCTTCAGATACTGAAGAAGTGTGCGTGCACACAAAAGCTCATACCAAGAACTAACTTAGTTGGTCTTTAAGGTGCTACTGGAAATAAAAAAAATTTGTTTTGACTATGGCAGACCAACACGGCTACCTATCTGTAACTTCCACACATGGGAATTGTTGCATCTCACTCAATCACTTTGGTTGCCGTTTTCTGAGCCTTTTACACAATATATTTTTTAAAGGCAAGATGACCAGAACTCTACACAATGTTCCAAGTCCGGTTACTTTTCTGGATGTCATCTAGACTAGCATCCAATCCAGGTGTAGGCAACCTAAGGCCCGTGGGCCAGATGCGGCCCTATCACCTCAATCCGGCCTGTGGATGGTCTGGGAATCAGCGTGTTTTTACATGAGTAGAATGTGTGGTTTTATTTAAATGCATCTCGGGTTAACGGGGCATAGGAATTCGTTCATTTCCCCCCAAAATATAGTCCGTCCCACCACATGGTCTGAGGGATGGTGGACCGCCCCCCTGGGTGAAAAAGGTTGCTGACCCCTGATCCAATCCATCCAGTTCCTGTAGCAACACAGCAAGTTGATGCTTGATGTTTGCCGCTTAAAGGTATAGTACCTCTGAACAGAGGTATGTGGTGGCACTGTGGGTTAAACCACAGAGCCTAGGACTTGCCGATCAGAAGGTCGGCGGTTCGAATCCCCGTGACGGGGTGAGCTCCCGTTGCTCAGTCCCTTCTCCTGCCAACCTAGCAGTTCGAAAGCACATCAAAGTGCAAGTAGATAAATAGGTACCACTCCGGCGGGAAGGTAAATGGCGTTTCCGTGCGCTGCTCTGGTTCGCCAGAAGCGGCTTAGTCATGCTGGCCACATGACCCGGAAGCTGGACGCCGGCTCCCTTGGCCTATAAGAGATGAGCGCCGCAACCCCAGAGTCGGCCACGACTGGACCTAATGGTCAGGGGTCCCTTTACCTTTACCTCTGAACAGGGAGGTTCTCTGAGCTGCCATGGTGTCCAGACATTCTGCAGTGCACAGCCCCTACATTTAAGTGGAGCTAGCTGCCTTTGTGTCAGGAGAAAGCCACTCTTGGTCCCTAATGAGAATTATAAATAGAAATGCCATTTTGTGGAATGACAGGGGCTCCCCGCAAAAAAACATTGCAGTATGTGCTGTGCTTCTTAGAATGCCAGCCATGCCGTCCAAGATACTCCATTCCGCTTCTCCCTCAGGGATGCTCCATTCCATTCCTACTGCCCCAGTTAGGCATGCAGTCCCTCCACCTCTGTGGTCGGCCTTAACTTCAACCTGGCCTCACTAGAGTTTTGGTCCTTGGCCCACCTTTGCCATGGCAGGGGCCAGTCTGTCAAAGCGAAGGGTCCTTGAACATAGGCAGAGTGTCCCTCAGCTTCATTGGCTGCCCATAATTTCTAGTGTTACGAGGGAGAAAAATCCACCTGCTTTCTCCATGCATAGGTTTAAAAAACTTCGATCGTGTCTCCTTAACTCACCTTTTTCTCTAATTGAAAATAGCACCTTGCTGGTTGTGACTGCCTCCTGCAGAACTGAGTTCCATAGTTGCGCTATGGGGGGGGGGACTCCGGGGAGAAACATGGCGGCGGCGCTGAGGAGCCTGAAGGGAATGGTTGGCTTGGTGACCAGTGGGGCTTCAGGCCTAGGCTGGGCCACGGCAGAGCGGCTGGTGCAACAGGGAGGCAGTGCTGTGCTTGTGGATCTGCCCAAGTCCGATGGGGAGAGCGTGGCCCCATCGCTGGGAGAGAGATGCATCTTTGCTCCGGCTGAGGTAACATCAGAGTCAGATGTGAAGAAGATGAGTTTGGATTTGATAGCCTGCTTTATCACTACCCTAAGGAGTCTCAACTAACGGATGCGGGTGGTGCTGTGGGTTAAACTACAGAGCCTAGGACTTGCCAATCGGAAGGTTGGCGGTTCGAATCCCCGCAACGGGGTGAGCTCCCGTTGCTCGGTCCCTGCTCCCGCCAACCTAGCAGTTCAAAAGCACGTCAAAGTGCAAGTAGATAAATAGGTACCACTCCGGCGGGAAGGTAAACGGCATCAACGGTGAACCAGAAGCAGCTTAGTCATGCTGGCCACATGAGCTGGAAGCTGTACGCCGGCTCCCTCGGCCAATAAAGCGAGATGAGCGCCACAACCCCAGAGTCAGCCACGACTGGACCTAATGGTCAGGGGTCCCTTTAGCTTTACCTAAGGAGTCTCAAAGCGGCTAACAATCTCCTTTCCCTTCCTCCCCCACAACAAACACTCTGAGGTGAGTGGGGCTGAGAGACTTCAAGGAAGTGTGACTAGCCCAAGGTCACCCAGCAGCTGCATGTGGAGGAGCGGAGACGCGAACCCAGTTCACCAGATTACGAGTCCACTGCTCTTAACCACTACACCACACTGGCTCTAGCTGCCCTAGCCCTGGCACGGGGAAAGTTTGGCTGTGTGGAAGTGGCAGTGAACTGTGCTGGGATTGCAGCGGCTGTCCAGACCTATAATATTAAGAAGGACCTTCCTCACAACTTGGAAGACTTCCGGAGAGTTATTAATGTGAATATTGCTGGAACATTCAACGTAATCCGTCTGACTGCAGGCGAGATGGGACGGAATGACGGGCACATTTATTTATACCCCGCCCATCTGGCTGAGTTTCCCCAGTCACTCTGGGCAGCTTCCAATAGAGTACTAAAAACAATACAGCATTAAATGCATAATGGAGAACCCCATGCTCCATGCTGAGGTGATCTGGCTTGGTGGGGCTATCCGACTACAGCCCTGAACTGTAAGCTTGGCCCTGGAAGAGCAGGAGGGTTTGCTTCCCCATCACTAGTCGGGGGTTGTATCTCTGCCTACTGGACCATAATCATTGTACTTTCGAATCTGTTCATCATTACAGCTGCCTCTGCTATGCTTCCTCAACTGGAATCTAGGTTAGCAAAAGCAAATTATTAACATCTGGACTATAATAAATGAATTAATTAAAAAAAACAAAACTATGCACTGGAGGGGGGGCGGGGAGTCCTTTCTTCTACCTCTTAGGGAATCTTCCACACTGAAAATGTGCTCTAAATTAACAGCGCATGCACAGATACCATGAAGCATTGCCTCAAAGGGACTCAAGCTCTGATTTGAGCCTGTCTCCATGAGGACTCCCAAAGGGCCCTCCAGCTGCAGTTGGACTCTGACTCAGCCCTTGCCAGCATGTCCAATGGTCAGGGATGATGGGAGTTTATTGTTTACTTGCATTTATAGCCCACTTTTTTCTCTCTCCAAGCAACTCGTGGTGGTATACCTGATTCTTCCGCTCCTCATCTTAATTCCAACAACCACTGTGTGAGGCAGTGACAGGCCCCAGCTCACCCTAGTGAGCTTCACGGCCGGGGAGATTTGAACCCTCGTCTCCCGGATCCTAGAACAACACTAACCACTACAACCCGCCACATCTGGTGGGCCAGGGGTTTCCCCCACCTCTGCCAACACGTCATGGATCTCCTGTCAAGGGTTTATAAATAAAGCCACACCCCAGTTTCCCTGCTGTTAACACCCCAGGCACAGAAGCAGACTGAAAAAAGAATGTTTAATCTCAACTTCTTGTTATTATTAGTTGTCTTTTTTAAAAAATCAAACAAACAAAGGTAGGAGATACACTCAGCCATCATTTTTCAAGTATATAGATATACAGAGATAAATATATGTCGCCATAAAGAGGGAAGGATTTATTACAAGACCACCTAAGGGAAGTTAACATTGCCTGGGAATCAAAGGTTGAAAACCTGAGGGAAATTCTCAGGTAAGGAGAAAGGGGGAGGGGGGCAGAAGAAGAAAGAGCAAGTGTTGGAAAATACAAGGCATAAATATTGACTACATTGGTTTTGGATATAAGTAGGACTATCTCGGGATGCAACGGAAGGGACCTAGCCCACGCCTCAGAGGTACAAAGTCCTTGAAGGTCCAGAGAGATTCTCTCGCGTGATGAGTTCTGGGGATGAGATGCAACTCCGACCCTCTCGTGCTGCTTCGCTTTTTAGACCCATTTCACAGGTGAAGGGAGAAAAGGGGCGCTGAGGTGTCCATGTTTTCCATCACTTTTCCTGGCCCCCACCCACCTCAGCCGGTCATCTTCACTTATCAAAATTTTAGGGTGGATCAGGCCAAAGGCCTTAAGTCCAGCATCCGTTTCCCAGAGTAGCCAGTTACGACATCTCCAAGAACCCCAGAGGCAACAAAAAAGGTAACAGCCCACTCACCTTGTCTTTCCTCCATTCCCACCCTCACCACCCAAAAAAAATCTGGTGTTCAGCTTCTATTCCTAACCACCATGAGCGTTAGCTACAACCAGTTGCCAAAAACCTGCCTGAGTTTTGTAAACCATGGTGTACATTTGATTGCACTGTATAAATAAATAGTAATAAATCTGGGGGCTGGAATTGGCTTTTAGTGGCACATTGTTTGGGGCAGAACAGCTTCCTCCTGTGTAAGCCCAGTCATTTCAGCCAAGTCAGGGCAGCGTCGTATTTTTTAAAAGCAAGAAGTTAACGTTAAGCCTCAGTAGCCGAAAAGTGGAAGTTCCTTTGCATATATCTGCATACATGGCAGAAATTTATCCCACTTCTCGGCCACATGACAGACAGCCGCTAGAAACCCTACGGACTCCCTTTTCTAGCTAATGAGGCTTCTCCAGACTTTGCCCACAAACTTTTAAAGACTAGAACCTTAACACGCTTTGCTTTTTGTGACTCAGTTTAGTTTTCTCTTTAAAATGAAAGCTGAATTTGATGCTTCCCCCAAAATGGCGGGAAGGGCGAAGGAGATTTGCCACGGTCTAGCAAAGGAATTTTAGCTGGACTCCTTTGCACACAGAAGGTCCAGCGTTCAACCTGGCGCCCTCAAAGTCTCGCCGGACTACGGCTCCCACCACCCCTGGCCATTTGACAGTACTACCTGGGGCTGATGGGAGTTGTAGTTCCTGGCTCCAGGAGTCAATGATGGGGAAGATGTTCTGTCTGGAGAGCTTCTACTGGTCAGAGCTGGCATTGATGGGTGCGTGGCCTTCCTGATGCCATCGGACTACAACAGCGTGGACTATGACAGCTATCATAGAATCACAGAATTGGAAGGGACCCCATCTAGTCCAACCGCCCCGCAACGCAGGCATCGAAACTAAGGCATCCATGCATGCATGCCTAACTCTGTCTCTCTGAAACATCTGAATCGGGAATGGCTGGGAAGGCCCAGGACTGGGGCCTGGATGCGGTGGGAGGGAGGGGGAGGGTTAATAAAGTGAGAGGTTCTCTGGTCCAGGAAGCTGCTAAGTTGCCTGCCCTGAATGGGGCCACACGCTCCCTGAAGTAGCAAGTGTGTGGTTTGGAGTTTTTTAAATTCATGTTCTGGTCTGTGTCTTTTTAAACCACCTCTCTGCTGCTCTCCTTGAATTTTGTACATTGCATGCGTGGAAGGCGCTACAATTTGGAACAGGTAATAACGCAGTGGTACCTTCGGTTTTCGAACGTAATCCGTTCCGGAAGACCGTTGGGCTCCCAAAACGTTCGAAAACAGAGGATCAATGGGCTGGCCGCAAAGTCAATGGGAAGAAATGAAAAACGCGTCTTGGAAGCCGTTCAACTTCCAAGGCGCGTTCGAAAACGGAAGCAATTACTCCTGGGTTTTCGGCGTTCGGGTTCCAAATTGTTCGGCTTCTGAGATGCTCGAAAACCGAGGTTCCGCTGTAATAACAACTCTGGTCGCCCCTGACCATTGAGCCAGGCTGCCTGGGGCTGATCTGGGAGTCCAGCCTCATCTGTTTCCCCTCTCTGTAGTGGAAGATACCGAACTAGACCAACTTATAGCACGACCTGGTATGAGGCAACTGCCTATAGCAGGGGAAGGTTGCCAACTGTCCAAAACCAGGCCTGGCCGTTTGCAGTTCGAAAGACGCAGCTGCCTGGTTTTATCTTCACACGAAGAAAACGCAAGGAGAGCCCACTGGATCTGACCAAGAGGGTCTAAGTCTGGCATCCGGGTTCCTAGCCAATCGGATGCTTCCAGGAAGCTCCCAAGGAAGGGTGTTGAAGAAACAGCCCTCCTGTATCGCTGCCTTGCTAGATGGGTGCAGCCCGGAGCCAGCCCCCTACCCCATCCAAAATGTGGGTCATGCCGAAACACCCCACCCACCCCCGGAGAAACCACGCCCCTCACTCGCCCATGTGCGTCTTCTTGTGCGCAATGAGGTAGAGGCCCCGCGTGAAGCTCTTCCCGCAGTCCAAGCACTTGTAGGGCTTCTCTCCCCGGTGCGTCCTCTCGTGAGCGGTGAGGTTGGAGCTGCGCCGGAAAGCCTTGCCGCAGTCGGCGCAGCTGTAGGGCTTCTCTCCCGTGTGCGTCCTCTCGTGGACGATGAAGTCCGAGCTCCAGCGGAAGCTCTTGCCGCAGTCGGCGCACTTGTAGGGCTTCTCCCCCGTGTGGGTCCTCATGTGGGTGGTGAGGTTGGAGTTGCGGTTGAAGCTCTTGCCGCAGTCGGCGCACTGGAAGGGCTTCTCCCCCGTGTGGATCTTCTTGTGGCGGATGAAGTGCGAGCGGTGGTCGAAGCTCTTCCGGCAGTCCTGGCACTTGTACAAGCGCTCTTCGGTGTGGATTCTCCGGCGCAGGACCACGCACCGCTTCTGCCGCTGGTTCTCCTGGAAGAGGATCTCGCCCAGGTCCTTGTAGCCCACCCGGCATGGGACGGCCTCCGGCAGGCGCTTGGCCAGGTGCCTCTCCACCCGCAGCTGGTTCTCAGAGGCCTTCTCCAGCTCGTGGTGCTGAGAGAGGCTCCCGCGTGGCTTTGGCGCCAACGCCCCGCCAGGGTTCTCCCGTTCGAGATATTCCCGCTGTTGCAGAAGGACCTCCCTCTCCTGTTCGCTGAGCAGCCTGCTCCCTGCTGGAACCAAAGAAAAGAGTGGAGATGTAACTGTGAGGTATAAAGTAATGGATAGACAAAGTACAGTGAGGTTAATTGGAAGTCAGTTTTAAATTTCTTTTCTATAAATTTTATACCGTATTTTTTGCTCTATAAGACTCACTTTTTCCCTCCTAAAAAGTAAGGGGAAATGTGTGTGCGTCTAATGGAGCGAATGTAGGCTGCACTGCTATCCCAGAAGCCAGAACAGCAAGAGGGATTGCCGCTTTCACTGTGTAGCGATCCCTCTAGCTGTTCTGGCTTCTGAGATTCAGAATATTTTTTTTTTTTTGTTTTCCAACTCCAAAAATTAGGTGCGTCTTGTGGTCTGGTGTGTCTTATAGAGCGAAAAATACGGTAATTGTGTTCAATACCAGAAGTATATATTATGATAATTATATTAATCTTCTTATATCTTATAGTGTGGTGGTTTGTTTGATTTTTCTGTTATTCATTTGTTTGATTGTATGTTTGTTTGACGCGGGTGGCGCTGTGGGTTAAACCACAGAGCCTAGGACTTGCCAATCGGAAGGTCGGCGGTTCGAATCCCCACGACAGGGTGAGCTCCGGTTGCTCGGTCCCAGCTCCTGCCAACCTAGCAGTTCGAAAACAAGTCAAAGTGCAAGTAGATAAATAGGTACCACTCTGGTGGGAAGGTAAACAGCGTTTCCGTGTGCTGCTCTGGTTCGCCAGAAGCGGCTTAGTCATGCTGGCCACATGACCCGGAAGGCCAGTAAAGCGAGATGAGCGCCGCAACCCCAGAGTCGGTCACGACTGGACCTAATAGTCAGGGATTCCTTTACCTTTACTATCTTATATAGTGGTGGTTTGTTTGCTTTTTCTGTTATTTGTTTGTTTGGTTGTATGTTTCTTTACTTGTTTGTACGTCTGTTTTTCATAAATGTATTTATTTTAAATTAATAAAGATATATAGTTTTTAATCAAAAAAAGAGTGGAGGGAAACCGCAAAATTATAAATCGGTAAGCCAGCAATTAAGAGTGCCGGAGTAAGATCTGGGAGAGCAGGGTTCAAATCCCCGCTCAGCCACGAAGCTCACAATCCCTGTCTCTCAGCCTAACCCGGCCTTGCATGGTTGTGGTGGGGGTTAAAGGAATGCAAATGAATTAAAATAATAAATCACAAGAGTTTGAAGAGGGCCCTTAGATGCCATCTAGTCCACCCCCTGCTCAACTTCAGAATTGCTGCGTAGGATGATGTGGTTTAGGGGTGGAGAATTTGTGGAGAATATGGAGACTACAGTTGATACAAATTGGGCATAGGCAGAGGGTACCACATTGGCTCTCTTTGAAGTTATATTCTGCAGCTTAATAATAATAATAATTTGCCATTTTATTTTATATTATTAAAAAATTATTATATTTATTATTTTGGCAAAGTAATAATAATAAATAAGAATTAAAATAAAAATGTGCACTGCACCCCCGAGACCCTTCCATTGTAACCATCCAACCTCCCAAAATTTCAACACCTCTTGCGATGGTTTGACCCCTTTCCATTTTAACAGTACAAATTCTACAAACACCTTCCCTATCTCCTCAGAATCATTTCTCCTGCGTATTCCCCGTCTTACCTTAATCGCACATATTATCATCAACGGCCATATCCCACACCTCTTTACACCATTCTTCCATTTGATATTCACCTTGCCCCTTCCACTTCCTAGCTATAACAACTCGTGCAGCTGTCAATAAATTTGTGGGCAAGTCCTTCACAGCCTGCAAACCTTACCAATTTAATTAAAAAAGGAAGGGAATGATCAAACAGAGCGGCTCTCTGGCAAGAGAAGACTGTTGTAACCCAACAGGCTTTTGCAGACTGACCAAATGTTTCAAGTGAATGGGCTTTTTAAATAGCACTGTGCTGTTTTTTATCTATAAATAAAAAATAAATCTGTTTTTATCTTGCTTTAATTCTATTGTAGTGGCTGGGGAAACCCAGCCAGATGGGTGGGGTATAAATAATAAATTGTTGTTGTTGTTTAATTGCTGTTCAGCAATTCTCTGAACAGATACCGTATTTTTTGCACCATAACACTCACTTTTTTCCTCCTAAAAAGTAACGGGAAATGTCTGTGCGTGTTATGGAGGGAATACCTACGGGTGGCATGCCTACGGATTTTCCTCCTCTAAAAACTATGTGCGTGTTGTGGTCGGGTGCGTGTTATAGAGCGAAAAATACGGTACCTTTTTAGCCTTCTGCATTTTAATGCCCTTGCTGCCCAGTCCATCCCCCTATGTCCTTTTTGCTACCCCACCTGGAAAAAAGAAACAAGCCGGGCGTCCCCGTTCTTACCTTGTTTCCGAGAAGCTCCCAGGCAAACTTGCTGCACCCTCGGGAAATTCACCGTCACTTCTTCAAAGGAATCTAGAACCTGCGAACAAGGGTCGCTGGTTAAAAGTGAAGCACAAAGAGATTTGGACAAACCCAGCCACCTCCGCCGGAGCAACAGATCTGCTTGTAGGGACCTCAGGCCCTCTGGGTACTGAACTATAACTCCCAGCAACCCCAACCAAGGTTACTATTTTGGGGCAAGACAGCTCTAAAGTCTTATTTTTCAAATGATGGACTGACTGCGATTTTCTGGCTAGTTTAGACTAGCTTAGCTTTGAGCTAGGTTAAGGACTTTGAGAACTTAAAAGAAGAAAAGTCACTTGAGCCAAGGACAGCACAAGTAGGGCCAGGGCCTTTTCAGCACTGGCCCCGACTTGGGGAATGCTCTGTCACAAGAGACTAGGGCCCTGCAGGACTTGACATCTTTCCACAGGGCCTGCAAGACAGAGCTGTTCTGCCTGGCCTTTGGTTTGGACTCAGTCTGACGCTCAGTCTACGGGCTACTTTTAAAATGAGGCCGCATTTTAAATTGCATTTTAACCTGTATTTTAAATTGGTCCCCCCCCCATTATGTTTTATTGTAATTTTACTGGTGTTAGCCACCCTGAGCAGGGGGTGGACTAGACGGCATCTAAGGGCCCTCTTCAAACTCTTGTGATTTAATTTTTTAATTCATTTGCATTCCTTTAACCCCCACCACAACCATGCAAGGCCGGGTTAGGCTGAGAGACAGGGATTGTGAGCTTTGTGGCTGAGCGGGGATTTGAACCCTGCTCTCCCAGATCTTACTCCAGCACTCTTAATTGCTGGCTTACCGATTTATAATTTTGCGGTTTCCCTCCACTCTTTTTTTTTTTTTTTAATATCTTTCATAAATACATTTATGAAAAACAGACTTACATACAAGTAAACGACCATACAAACACACAAACAAATAACAGAAAAATCAAACAAACCACCACACTATAAGATAGTAAAGGTAAAGGGACTCCTGACCATTAGGTCCAGTTGTGGCTGACTCTGGGGTTACGGCGCTCATCTCGCTTTACTGGCCGAGGGAGCTGGCATACAGCTTCTGGGTCATGGGGCCAGCTTGACTAAGCCGCTTCTTGCGAACCAGAGCAGCGCACGGAAACGCCGTTTACCTTCCCGCCGGAGCGGTACCTATTTATCTACTTGCACTTTGACGTGCTTTTGAACTGCTAGGTTGGCAGGAGCAGGGACTGAACAACGGGAGCTCACCGTGTTGCGGGGATTCGAACAGCTGACCTTCTGACCGGCAAGTCCTAGGCTCTGTGGTTTAACCCAGCCATAGAGCGGTACATAAATTCAATAAATAAATAAATATGGCATGAATGTGACCCAAGAAGGTTTTTTTTGTTCATCCCCACTTCCTCTCACCAGCTGTTGGGGTCTCTCCGCCTCCTGCTGCCTCAGCAGGAAACCCTCGGCCAGGGCCACCGCCTGGGCGCAGGTCTCCGGCCCGCGCTCCCTGACGCAGCCTTGGATCTCCGACGGCAGGATGGCCAGGAACTGCTCCAGGACCAGCGCCTCCAGGATCTGCTCCTTGGTGTGCCTCTCCGGCTTCAGCCATTGGTGGCACAGCTCCCGGAGCCGCCCACAGACGTCCCGCGGCCCCTCGGCCTCCCGGTAGCTGAAGTGCCGGAACCGGTGGCGCTGGGCTTCAGCGCTCGCTGCATCCTCTTCTAGGACCTCTTCCTTGACCTTCCAGCCGCCCCCCCGCACGAAGCCCTGTGGGGCCGCCCCACCCGAGGCCGGAAAGCCCTTGGGGTCCTTGAAGGCCACGAGTTCCGGCAGCGGCGAGCTCCCCCACCCGGCATGAGGGGACTGGACCACCTTCAGGAACTCCTGCCACTGGGCTTCCCAGCGCTGGGCCAAGCCCACATCCGGCTCCTGTTTGATCTGCTGCGGCGTCACCCGCCTCAGGAACTCCCGGGCGCCACCGGCTGGTGCCGAACGAGGGTCTTTCCTCGCCCCCTCGGCCGGCTTGGCACCGCAGGCAAGGCTCTTCTCCTCCATTTTCACCCGGAGCTCTCGAGAGGCCTGGAGGCGCAGGGCTGACGGCGCACCCCCTTCTTTCGGAACGGCTTTCTTGGAGGCCATCGGTAGGGGCCTTATCCCATCTCAGACCTGCCGGAGCTCCAGTCACAGCCGTCGGCCTGGAGGGACACCGACCGCTGTGGGAGAGAAAGAGAGACGGGAAGGTTCCTCTGCTCCGTCGTTCCGTGATCCTGCGGCGTGTGGGGCGACGGAGATGTTGCTGTTTGGCTAAGGGATCCTGCAGCCAGCAGTCATTTGCAAATGGTCCTGATGGGTAGAGGTCACTGCCCTGTGGATACAAAGCACAAAACTGCAGCAGGGGGAGAGAAAGGAAAGAATGGAGGAGATAATGAATTGGGAAAAAATGTTTGATTTTTTATTTATTTTTAAATTTTTATACCCCTTTATATTTTTAATAAAAAGCTCAAAGCGGTTTACAGCATATTTAAATCAATAAAACATTAAAATAACCTTTGTAAAAATCAAACAAACCAGAAGCCTTTTTGTAGGCCTCGGTCCAGTGTACCTGAAGGAGCGTCTCCACTCTCATCTTTCTGCCCGGACACTGAGGTCCAGCTCCGAGGGCCTTCTGGCAGTTCCCTCCCTGTGAGAAGCCAAGTTACAGGGAACCAGGCAGAGGGCCTTCTTGGTGGTGGCACCCGCCCTGTGGAATGCCCTCCCACCAGATGTCAAAGAGAAAAACAACTACCAGACTTTTAGAAGACATCTGAAGGCAGCCCTGTTTAGGGAAGCTTTTAATGTTTAATAGACTTTGGAATTTTAATATTCTGTTGAAAGCCGTCCAGAGTAGCTGGGGAAACCCAGTCAGATGGGCGGGCTATAAATAAATTAATTATTAATTATTATGATTATGATTATTATATAGGTACCAATATCCCAAAGGAACAGAAAATACTTTTAATGCCACACGGATGCTACTAGCCCAGAGATGGAAAGAAGACAAAGCCCCAACCAGAGAGGAATGGCAAACAAAGCTGATAGATTATGCCGAAATAGCATTAACTTGACCGGAAAGCTCAGGAACCAAGAAGACAAGAACTTTAAAAAAGAATGGGGAAAATTTATAACTTATCTAGGAGACCACTGTATCCAGATGAAAACATTAGCTAGATTCTAATAACACTTGTAGCAAACATCATGGACATTATGGAGACATAGAAAATGTGGATTATGAAATGATATGCAGTTGAGAAGGTGGACAATAGGACCTATGAAAGGGAAGAACAAAAAATCCGGAAGTCCAGCTTTTCTGGGTCATGTGAGCAGCATGACTAACCGCTTCTGGCGCAACGGGACAGCGTGACAGAAACCAGAGCGCACGGAAACGCTGTTTACCTTCCTGCAGGAGCTGTACCTATTTATCTACTTGTGCTGGTGTGCTTTCAAACTGCTAGGTTTGCAGGAGCTGGGACAGAACAACAGGAGCTCACTCCGTCGCGAGGATTCAACCGCCGACCTTCTGATCAGCAAGCCCAAGAGGCTCAGAGGTTTAGACCACAGCGCCACCCACATTTCTAAGAAGCCCATATATGGTACCTTGAGCTCCTTGGAGAAAAAGGCAGGATATAAATTAAACAAATAAATAATACACAACCACACCGCAAACTGCACTTAATAACTTCTCACTGATTCCCCACCTCCCCAGCAATTAGCTACAAAAAAAGCATTTTAACATTTTCCAAGACTTTTGGAGTGGGGGAGCCGATTTTTCCAGGTGCAGCAACATGTATTTAAAGCACTCACTATGGTACCGCTTTAAATGTTTGTGGCTTCCCCCAAAGAATTCTGGGAGCTGTAGTTTGCCAAGATGCTGTGAGGGGAGACCCGCGATTTACCTCAGAGAACTACAATTCCCAGTGTCCCTTGTGAGAAGGGACTGTTAAACCACCCTGGCAATGTGGGGAATAGGGGGTCTCCTACCAACTCCCTTAACAAACTACAGTTCCCAGAATTCTTTGGGGGAAGAAGCCATATCTGTCTAAAGTGGCACAGTAGCTCAGTTGGTAGAGAATGAGACTAGTAATTTCAGGGTCATGGGTTCGACTCCTACACTGAGCAAAAGATTCCTCCATCGCAGGGGGTTGGACTAGATGACCGTCATGTTCCCTTCCAACTCTATGATAATCTATGAATGGTTAAACTCACTGACAGGGCTTTTAATGGGTGGTGTGAATGTGTCACACTACTTCCACGACTTTTTCCTGTTTTCAAGGCCAGGCCAGGCCAGGGACATCCGCAATTTTTATCTGTAGGCTGCTTTGAGTCCTTGTCCGGGGGAAAAGGTGGAGCAAAAATAAATATATAAAAATAAAACACCCGTCTTTCTATCTGCTACGAGGCCCAGCCTTGTTCATGCCTATCTGATTGGTAGGAGGGAAGGAAGAGTCCTCAAGGCTCGGCCTGTGTGTCTGTGGGCACCAGGTTGGCGACCCCAGACTGAGATTAGGAAGCTGCCTTACACTGAGTCAAACCGTAGGTCCACCTACCGCGGAACTGATGGAGTTGGCTCCGTCGGCAGAGCATGAGACTCTGAATCTCAGGGACGTGGGTTCAAGACCCACACAGGGCAAAAGATTCCAGCATTGCAGAGGGTTGGACTAGATGACCCTCGGGGTCCCTTCCAACTTTATGATTCTCTATCTACACGGACTAGCAGCAGCTCTTCAGCGCTCAGGCAGGGAGTCTCTCCCATCCCTGGAGAAGCCAGTAGGGATCAAACCCACGACCTTCTGCATGAGCTATGGCAATAAAAAGCCGAAGTACCCATCTAACCCAGTACTGTCTGCACTAACTGGCAGCAGCTCTCCAGGGTTTCAGGAAAGGGTAGCCTCCCAATTGAGATTGGGTAGCCTCCCAAAAATATGGTCTGAAGCTCAACATCAAAAAAACAAAGATCATGGCCACTGGGCCCATCACCTCCTGGCAAATAGAAGGGGAAGAAATGGAGGCAGTGAGAGATTTTACTTTCTTGGGCTCCATGATCACTGCAGATGGTGACAGCAGTCACGAAATTAAAAGACGCCTGCTCCTTGGGAGAAAGGCGATGGCAAACCTAGACAGCATCTTTAAAAGCAGAGACATCACCTTGCCAACAAAGGTCCGTATAGTTAAAGCCATGGTTTTCCCAGTAGTGATGTATGGAAGTGAAAGCTGGACCATAAAGAAGGCTGATCGCCGAAGAATGGATGCTTTTGAATTATGGTGCTGGAGGAGACTCTTGAGAGTCCCATGGACTGCAAGAAGATCAAACCTCTCCATTCTTAAGGAAATCAGCCCTGAGTGCTCACTGGAAGGACAGATCCTGAAGCTGAGGCTCCAATACTTTGGCCACCTCATGAGAAGAGAAGACCCCCTGGAAAAGACCCTGATGTTGGGAAAGATGGAGGGCACAAGGAGAAGGGGACGACGGAGGACGAGATGGTTGGACAGTGTTCTCGAAGCTACCAGCATGAGTTTGACCAAACTGCGGGAGGCAGTGGAAGACAGGAGGGCCTGGCGTGCTCTGGTCCAGGGGGTCACGAAGAGTCCGACACGACTAAACGACTAAACAACAACAAGCCTCCCAACTGGGATTGAACCCAAGTCCTTCTGCATGCCAAGCAGGTGCTCTACCCCTTTCCTTAAAGGCAGAGTGAAGATTCCAGTCCTCATGGTCCTAATTGAAAAGCTGTTTAAATGGGAAGCTGCCGTAAACAGAGTCATAGAATCACGGCATTGCAGAATTGGATCCCGGGGGCGATCTGGTCCAGCCCCTGCAATGCAATAATCTTTTGCCCAGCGGTGAGGCTCAAACTCACGGCCCTGAGATGGCAGAGTCTCGTGCTCTACCGACTGACCCGCCAGGCTGCCCAACTCAGCATCGCCTAACCCTGGTTGGCAGCAGCTCTCAGGAAAGGAGTATTCCCAGCCCTAAATGAGGATGCTTGAGGCCTTCTGAATTCAGAGCAGCTGCCCTGAGCGACAGCGGACCTCCCTCACCCCCTTGCTCGGCTCCCTCCCTCTCCCTTGCATTGCACAAAGATGAACGGGAACAAAAAAAATAATAGTAATATTTGCATTTATTTTTGTACTCACTTCAGCAGCCCCAGCCTCTCAGGTTCTCAGGCGCCTTCAATGCAACCACCCCAGAACTGCCGCTTGGAGGAATTAAAAGAGGGAGATGAAGCTACTTTGTGCAAAAGGTTGGGAAGGAATGGAGGGTGAAGGCGGAACAGGAAAGGAAGGGACTCCCTGGTCTTTCTTTTTTTTGCATTTCTCCCTCCTCCCAGATGTCTGGGGCCTCTCTAGCAGCTGTCACCAGATCTATTGGGTTAACCCTTCTTGGGTAAATTCAAACCTGCAGATCCAAGAGAAGGAGGGGCTCCTGAAACGCCTGCAGCTGCCGCCTCAGTAGACCAGGTTGCTATCCGGCAGGTCTAGTACGAAGCAGGCAGAAATTCAACAGGTGCAGCTTTTTCTTTTTTTAAAAATTCCGTTTGTGCTTCCTCCTAAAAATACCTGGAAGAGAGAACATCAACAATTAAAAGCAATTCCATGCTGCGGACTTGCATTCCTTTTTCAGAGTGCTGTGTTTTCCAGAAGAAGAAGTAAATGAAGACATTCTTTGTTCCTTTCCCTTTCTGCATTATTTTCATTTTATTCGCTACAGGCAACAAAAGTAACAAAAGGAAAGAAAATGAAATATTTAAGCCGCAAAGCATCGCAGCCTGGAAGGAAGAAAAGTGCAGAGATGCAGCACAGCTCTAAAGGGATAATAATAAACTCTAAAGGGAGAGGTTCCCTTTGCAACTAATAAAGATTTATATAGATAAAAGGATTCTCCAGTCGTGAGTTCCCTCACAGGTTCCGTATAGTCTTAAATGAGCCAGATATTTGCATGCTGGCAAAAATTTGACCATATGCCTCAATATTTGTACAGTGTTTTATTGTAGTATGAAAAAGATTTAATAAAATCGGGGGTGGGGGATAAATAAAATCATGCCATATGTCAAAAAAGCAAAAATCCCTCCAGGTCATTCAAGCTCTGCTCCTTAGACAAATTTTGTTTCTTTCTTTCTTTCAACAAGCTTCTCCAACTGGATGAAAGTCTCTTGCCTTCGATGTTCATTATTTGAATGGGTTTGAAACCTATTTTCAGGTTGTTGGCTTTTTAAAAAAACTGCTTTTAAAAATATTTATATATGTCTAATCGCTCTGAGGCATTTTAAAGGCCATTAATAAATGAAGAAATGTAGAAACAATTCCTGATGTAAATACAATGCCATTTATACAACAATTACTAACAATTCCGTTTGGCAGAACAATGTCAAACTGAGCACAGGTACGGACTGGGATCGTAAAGTATGATACAATAATCTTTATTGTCCCATCAGAACAACGAAATTGAAAAAATCTACATCAGACATTCAAAAACCCTGTGATCCTTGGAGGAAGGGCAGCATATAAATTTAACAATCAATCAATCAATCAATCAATAAAATCCGTATTGCCAGTAGGCATACAGAAATACCCTGTTTACCTGGATAACTGGAACACTTAAAAAAAAAAGTCAATTAAGGCTGCAGGCTTTACCTGGGAGTAAGTCCCATTAAACTCACTGGGGCTTACTTCAGGGTTGACACGTACAGAAGCAATGAATCAATGAAAGAATTCAATTCTAAATTTAATTTACTTATTAAAAATTATGTTTGGTTGTCTGCTGCTGAGCACATTTTTTAGATCAGCTTTCCAATAAACACATGTACAAAAGGCACCTAGGACTTTACAGAGTAAGGCTTTGGTGCCGAATAACTTAAGCCGCAATCCTTGGCTGCCTGCATACACTATATAAAGTACTTGATTTCCCTCAAAGAATTCCGGTTTCTGTAGTTTACCTCTCAACAGAGTTCACAGTTCCAGCACCCTTAACAAACTACAGTTCCCAGGATTGTTTGTGGGCTTAAAATGTGCTTTAAAGCTGTGTTACGCATTATAGATCTGAAACACATTTGGAGCACATTCTTTCCCTCAAATAATTCTGGGGCCTGTAGTTTATCTACAGCGCCCAGAATTTTGTGAGGGAAAGAATGTGCTTTGACTGTGCTTTATTTATTTATTTTTAAATAATTGTTATTGATTCCCCCCCCCCCCGGTAACATTATGTATAATCATTACATTACATTCAGTTTTCAATTCCCCCCTTCCCTGCTGACATCCCTCAACTTCCATCCCTGGTTTGTTACATCTCATATTACATTCTGCTGTTTATATATATTCTTCGGCGATCGCTCGTAGCCGAATAAGATTGTCTTCCATAAACACGGTTTTAACAATGAGTCCGTAATGACTGTGGAGGCCAATTCTGGATCCACACATTCTTCCACAGTGGGGACATTGGTTCCTGGGCGGGAGTTGATCACGGTGTGGATTTGCCAAGCGTGCCTTTCTCCTAGCAAGTTTCTCCCTTGCGTCCTGAGTTCGAGTGTCTTCAAAGGCCATGACACCTTTGGTAAAAGGCTGTTCTCCAACTGGAGCGCTCACAGGCCAGTGTTTCTCAGTTGTCAGTGTTTATACTACATTTTTAAAGATTTGCCTTGAGACAGTCTTTAAACCTCTTTTGTTGACCACCAGCATTACGCTTTCCATTTTTAAGTTCGGAATAGAGTAGTTGCTTTGGAAAATGATCATCAGGCATCCGTACAACATGACCAGTCCAACGAAGTTGATGTTGAAGAATCATTGCTTCTTCCAGTACACTGATATTAGTTCACCTGTCTTCCCAAATGATGTGTAAAAAATTTTGGGACATTCGCAGGAAAACCAAAATGCTTGTTTACAAAACTATTGTACTACCAACCTTACTATATGTTTGTGAAACATGGACCACTTATAAACGCCGTCTCCAACTCCTCGAAAGATTCCATCAACGGTGTTTATATATATTTCTATATTGTCATACTGTTAGGTTTCTTGCTTTTTTGTAAATAAAATTGCAAATGTTTATTTAAATGTTTTGAATGTGCTTTAAAAGACAACTCCTTCATCTTCCATGAATTTATCCAATCCTCTTTTAAAGTTCCGCAGTTTAACTGTGCTGCGCGAAGAAGTCCTTCACCGTTCAGCCTCACTGGGTTAATAGCAAATTTCTGGTATTAGGAAAGAAAGAGGAAAACCTCTCTCTGTCTACTCTGGTGCAAATACTAGTCCTAACTCAGAGTAGACCCACTGAAGTTAAGGGACCTGAAAATCGATGAATAACTCTTATAGATAGACAGAAGAGGACTTACTCTACTTGACTATTTGGAGGGACAAATTATAACGATGTATAAAAGCCATAGCAGAAATTGGTAATTGAGCAGGTGATGTGTAGGGAGAAGGGATGAATGTATTTTGAAATGATAGCTGGAAAATGTTATTTTATTGGGAGCAGCAAATGAGAGAGGAAAATAGAGGGGATATCTGGCGGGCAGGGGCAGGAAGTCAACTTTCAAATTTGTACATATTGAATTTGTATTAATTTGGTGACAATTTGTTAAAAATTCTGGAATATCAATAAAAATAATTGGTGAAAAGAAGTTAAGGGACCTGGCTCAATTTATCTGAACAGAAATGCTCAGGATTGCACTTTGAGGTGTGTGAAATTTCATTTATTACTCTCTTCCCATGAGGCGCCCCAAAGCAATCCACAATATAATAAAAGCGTCTGTGGAATAGAGTCCCTCAGAAGGTGGAGGATTTTAAGGAGAGGTTGGATGGCCGCCTGTCATGGATGCTTGTGTTGAGATGTTTGCACTGCGCGGTGTTCCCAGAATCACACAATCCTAGAATTGTAGAGTTAGAAGGGACCCCAGGGTCATCTAGTCCAACCCGCTGCAATGTAGGGATCTTTTGCCCAACTGGTCATCTAGTCCAACCCGCTGCAATGTAGGGATCTTTTGCCCAACTCGAACCCTTCCAACTCTGGAATTTCATGATTCTGTATGTTAGGAATATAAAAACAGTTAAAACAACTGCACACACATACATAAAAGCAATTATTTTTTTAAACAAACTATAAACTGCAACATTAAAAACTGTTTTAAAAACAATTAACATGCATACCGCCTGCCAACCTAGCAGTTCGAAAGCACCCCCGGGTGCAAGTAGATAAATAGGGACCGCTTACCGGCAGGAAGGTAAACGGCATTCCGTGTGCTGCGCTGGCTCGCCAGATGCAGCTTGTCACACTGGCCACGTGACCCGGAAGTGTCTGCGGACAGCGCTGGCTCCCGGCCTATAGAGTGAGATGAGCGCACAACCCTAGAGTCTGGCAAGACTGGCCCGTACAGGCAGGGGTACCTTTACCTTTACCTTTAACATGCATACACAGCACGTGTAGAAGTATATTAATATACAGTAATATAATATTGCCCCGCATCAGGTGCCTTTTACAGCAGTCTAACATGCAGGACGTGGGTGGCGCTGTGGGTTAAACCACAGAGCCTAGGACTTGCTGATCAGAAGGTCGGCGGTTCGAATCCCCGCGACGGGGTGAGCTCCCATTGCTTGGTCCCTGCTCCTGCCAACCTAGCAGTTCGAAAGCATGTCAAAGTACAAGTAGATAAATAGGTACCGCTCTGGTGGGAAGGTAAACGGCGTTTCCGTGCGCTGCTCTGGTTCGCCAGAAGCGGCTTAGTCATGCTGGCCACATGACCCAGAAGCTGTACGCCGGCTCCCTCAGGCAATAAAGCGAGATGAGCGCCACAACCCCAGAGTCAGCCATGACTGGACCTAATGGTCAGGGGTCCTTTTACCTTTAACATGCAAAAATTCAACAGGGCCAGCTTTCACCCAGAGCCAGGTTCAGATCTTTCCTCTGACACGAAACTCACTCACTCTCATTCTAGTCTACCTTCCAGGGCTGTTGTGAGGATTAAGGCAGCAGGGCGGGAGCAGAGGAATGAGTCTTGAACCCCTTGGAAGAAAAGCAGGATATAAATATAGTGATTATTTTTGTAATGTGTTAAAATAAAAATTATTGGCGGTTGGGGGGGTGGGGAGAGTATTAAACCTGTTGAATGCTGTCCTGTTAAAACCACAGGAGCCCCGCCAGAGGGGGAAAAGTCTGCAGAATATTTCCTAAACCCTTTACAGTACTTTGTCTCCTATTATCATGCAATCGAGCTCCCATTTCCTTTCAGCAGCTTTGCCAAGGTCACACACGGGTTCTCTGGTTCCTTAAAAAACTCCAGCCGCATCTTTGGATCCGGGAAGGAGAGCATTTTTTTCAATCAAAGCTGCTGCTTTT